TGTGGACAAGTCTCAAAATAAATTCATGCACTCTCAGGGCTGCCAGTGTTGAAGTCTATATAACATATTCAACAAATGGGTCTGATGGAATAACTTGAGTTACAGGGAACTCACTACCTGAAGACATCCCAATATGTCCTGGGTCTGCTTTGAGAAGCACAAAAGGTTTAATTTTTGATTTTTAAAATTTATTTGTTTTCACTTATTTGAAATGCAGAGAGACACAGGGAAAGAGATACAGAGACAGAAAGACAGGCACAGAGGGATCTTCTACCCACTGGTTCTTTTGCCAAATGCCCACAACAGCTGGGGCTGGGTTGGGCCAAAGTCAGGAGTCTGGGACTCAGTCCAGATCTCCTATGTGGGTGGCAGGTATCCAAGTACTTCAGCCATTACTTGCTGCCCTCTATAGTGTGCATAATCGGGAAGTTGGAAGTGGCACCAGGATGTGAACCCAGGCACTTTGCTATGAAATGCGGGTGTCCAGATGGTCTTAAGCACCACGTCAAATGCTTGCCCTGAAAGGCTTGTTTTCTGCTTGCTGGAAATCACCCTCCCTGAAGCTCTCATGTATCCATATCAGTTTTTAGCCAGGGTAAAAAAATTTCTCTTTTATTTTCACCTGACAGAGCTTCAAGTGGTTGAGGAACATTGAACTATTTAAGTAATGATAATTTATTAATATCACAGTAATTATTATCATTTAATCCTATCAATGAGTTGTATGATTAAATGTCCCTCTTATGTCAACTACCACACTAGATATCTAAGAAACAGATAGAGTATCCTCAAGTCAAAAATCTGAAATCTGCAAGCCTCCAAAATCTGAAAATTTTGAGTGTTGACATGATATCGCAAGTAAAAAATTCCACACTTGACCTCCTGGGACAGGCTTTGACCCAAATGCAAGCACACTAAAAATGTTTCATGAAATTACATTCAGGGTATGAAACATAAACGGATTTTATGCTTAGACTTGGGTCTGATCCCCACGATATTTTATTATGTGTGTGCAAATATTCCTAAATCCAAGAAATTCTGAAGTCTGACACATTTCTAGTCCCAAGTAATTCAGCTAAGTGATACTCAACTTGTGTTACCTAACTTAATCTGTGTAACTACCTGTTGAGACAAACCTTATTTTTATCACCTTGGAGTTTCCAAAAACTGAAGCTTAGAGACAAGTATCTTGCTAGTATGTAATGAAGTTGGACTTCCATCAAGATTGTGCCACTTCAGACCTTGTCTTGGCTCTGCTCTGTCATGTTTGACATTTCTAGAATGACTAGAGGTGGAGAAGAGAGGTATGGAGGAGAAATGTTGCTGAGAGGAAAGAACTATTCTCAGGCTTTGTTTGTTGGAGAGGACATGCTATTTAAAATATATTGCTTTATGTTTGTAGCTGAGCTTGACATCTTTCAGGTCCAGGTTGGAGAGGCCAGTGGATTTAGAGGGTGAGATTGAGGTAGTGGTGACATTGCCATGCAGAACTTGGGCTCCTAACCATTCTACGGGAAGCACAATGGTTACAAATGCTTCCTTGGGGCCAGACTGCAGGGTTTGAATCCTGCCTTTGCTATTCACTTATTCAACTTAACTACCTTTAGCCTTGGTTTCCTGATCAATAAATGAGAACACAATAGTACTTCCCGTTATAACAATAAATAAATACATTTAAAATGACTCTTGGCACATAGTAAGTACACCATAAACCCCAGCTATTATTATTGTTGCCTCTCCGAGTGAGAGGCAGAGTCAGATAGGAGTGGGAACCTTAGTTCATTGCTTATTTTTTATTTTTAATTTTTCGATAAATAGGTTTATTAGACAAGATAATATTCTGCTATGTTATGATATTTTAAAAATCTTTAATTGTCACAAAAGATACATAATATAAACTTATCTTAACCAATTTTACATTTATAGTTCTGTATTTTTAAGTATATTCACATTGCTGTTCAAATAATCTCCAGAATGCTTTTAAGAATGTTTATTTTTTTTAAGATTTATTTATTTGAAAGAGTGACAGAGAGAGGGAGAGACCCAGAGAGAGAAAGAGATCTTCCACCTGCTGATTCACTTCCTAAATGGCTGCAACAGCCACGTCTGGGCCAGGCTGAAGTCAGGAGCCAGAAACTCCCTCCAGTTCACCCACATGGGCGGCAGGAGCCAAAGTACTTGGACCATCTTCTGCTGCTTTTCCTGGTACAATAGCAGGGAGCTGGATTGGAAGCAGAACATCCAAGGCTCAAACCAGTATTCTAATATGGGGCGCCAGTGTCATGAGAGGCAGTTTAACCCTGTGCACCATAATGCTGGCCCCCCCAAAATATTTATGTGTTTTTATCTACTTGAAAAGCAGAGAGGGAAAGGAGGGGGGGATGGAAAGAGAGAGAGAGAACGAATCTTCCAACAGCTGGTTTACCCCCCCAAACACTCACAACAGTCAGGACTGGGCCAGGCCAAAGCCAGGAGCCTGGAACTCTACTGGGTCTCCTGCATGGGTGGCACTTGAGTCTTCGTCCCCTGTCTCCCAGGATGCATTAACAGGAAGCTGGATTGGAAGCCGAGTCACTGGAACTTGAACCAGTACTCTGATATAGGATGTGGGTGTGGTAGTGATTTGTTTAACATGTTGTACCATGACACCCCCCCACCCCGGCCCTCTTGGAATGCTTTTCATCTTGCAAAACTGAAACTCTGAACTCATTAGACAGCAACTCCCCCTGCCCTGCCCCCTCTTCCCACCAGCCCCTGGAAACCACAACTGTACTCTCTGTGTTTATGAATTCGACCACTTTAGACATCTCAGGCAGTATTTGTCTTTTTGTGATTGTCCTATTTAATTTAGCATAATATCCTCAAGGTTCATGCATGTGGGAGCATGTGCCAGAATTTCTTTCTATTTGAAAGCTAAATAATATTCTATTGTGTCTACATTCCACTTTTTGTTTAGCCATTCATCCGTTGATGGATACTGGCTCTGTCTACCTTTTAGCTATAATAATGCTGCAATGAATATGGATGTACACATAGCTTCTTTGAGGCCCTGTTTTCATTCCTTAGGGTATATATCCGAGAAGTAATGAGTGGATCATATGCTAGTTGTGTTTTTATTTTTTTGAGGCAACTCCATACTGTTGTCCATAGTAACTACATCCCCACGAATAATACACAAGAGTTTTGTTTTCTCCACACTCTCACCAACACTAATTATTTTCTGTTATTTTTTTAATAGCAGCCATCCTAATGTTTGTGATATGGCATCCTATTGTGGTTTTGACTTGCATTTTTCTAATGATTAGTAATGTTAAGCTTATTTGCTTGTGCTTATTGGTCATTTATGTATCTTATTCAGAGAAATCCTATTCAAGTCCTTTGCCCATTTTAAATCATTTACCAATTTTTAAAGTTTTGGCTTTTTGTTGTTCAGTAGTAGGGGTTATTAATGTGTTCTCAATTTTAGCCCATGATCAGATATATGATTTGCAAATATTTTCTCCCCTTTATAGGTTGCCTTTTCACTCTGTGGATTGTGTCTATTGATGTTTGGAACTTATACTTTTTGTTGTAGTCCAGTTTACCTATTTTTTGTCATCTTTGCCTTTGATGTCATATCCAAGAAATCATTGCCAAATGCAGCATCATAGATCGAATCTAATGCTTCTATCCACAAACACGAGGGTGGGTTTGATCAGTCAAAGAAAACAGCAGCGTAAACTTGAGAAGCCTTTGGAAGGTTGCCAAGGACTTCTTTCATACCCATTGAATTATTTAAGCTTCAAAGAAACAGTCAGTTCATGAACAATGAAAAAGAGACTTAAGGCACCTGAGCAAGTTGATTAAAAATACATAGAGGGAAAGTAGTGGGAAAAGTTATTGTTCAGGATCATTAATGAAGGTGGGCATGAGCTCAAAGGTTTTTCATGTTGTGTAGACATTTAGGGTGTCTCTTAAAACTGAAAGTAATTGAGCTAAAGGGATACAAAAATGTAGTTCCTTTCTGAACACACAAGTTCACAGAAGTTTCAGATTATGACCCAGGCAGACTCAAAAGTGGTTTTTTTTCTTAAATATTTTATTTATTTGAGAGGTAGAGTTATAGACAGAGAGAAGGAGACAATATTTTTCCATTCACTGGTTCACTCCCCAGATGGCTGCCACAGCAGGGGCTAAGCTGATTCGAAGCCAGCAGCCAGGAGCTTCTTCCAGATCTCCCACACAGATGCAGGGACCCAAGAACTTGGGCCATCTTCCACTGCTTTCCCAGACTGTGGCAGAGAGCTGGATCAGAAGAGGAGCAGCAGGGACATGAACCAGTGCGCATACGGGATTCTGGCGCTGCAGGTCGAGGTTTAGCCCACTACGTCACTGTGCTGGCCCTCAAAAGATCTTTAACTTCTGGCCTTCTCTATGGCTAGTAGACCCTGGAAGCTGGGGACAGGAACACAACTGAACCTTTAACTTAGAGTGGACACAGAAAGAACAAGGAACACTTTGAGTATCTGGTGTTGCAAGAACTAGAAAGAGGCAGATGCATTAATGGCCACAGGCTGTGAAGTATCTACACTGCTCCCAAATATTTACCTCTTGTGGTTGCATAGATCTGTAAAGGGCAGATGTGGATTTTATTTCCTGACATCAGGTATGCGATCTTGTTAGGTTTTTTGGTAGGGGTGTAAACACACATAAAGAAAAGAGATTTTCATCTCAGAAAGTTAGCTTAAAAAAAAAAAAGCGCCTTTGTATGAGTTTAAACAAAAAGTGGGTCATATAAGTATTTTGACAAATATACCAATAATAGAAGTTTGATAGGATACCCATAAGGAGTCTTTTCACCTTGGGCAAAGTGGCAAACTGTCTTGGGCCTTCAGCTTCCGTTGCATCCCTTTGGAGGGCTAGGGTGAAGAAAGGAGCATAGTTTATAGTCAAAACATAACATAGGTTATAACACAGGAGTCAGTTTATTTCTTTGTGCCGTTATTTGTCTTTCTTCTCAGGTCTCAGGGGCCTGGTTCAGAACCTGAAGACTTGAAAAACTGCAAATACATACACTTTCCCACTCTTCAGAACAACTGCGTAGAATGCAAGAGAACAGAGCCACATTCCGGAACATCTACCCCTTCCCCTGAGCTGGGGCAGAAAACCAGGCTGGGACAAAGAGAAGAGCCACCTGCCTTGCTGAGGTACATGCTCCAGAATAACCCTCCAGGCATGTCTCCGGAGAAGTTAATCTCATGCCATTCCCCATGAGGTTCATGCGTGCAGCTAACTCTACCCTAGGGTGCCCTGTCCTGGTCGGTGAAATTGTGAGTTGTCATTTTTTTTGCTTAGAATCCGGCCACTGGACAGCAAGAGTTGTCAGCAAAAGCATTGCAACTGGCTTTTTCCTGACTGAGCAAATACATGGTCTACTGACCACGTGATCAAAGTGAGGCGGGGAGGGCGGGCTTATGATCCTCTGTGGTCTAATAGGTTTCCTGGAATAAGGGCTCTTTGATGACTCTTCTTTTTTTATGACTTATTTATTTATTGTTAATAAGTTGTTTTTTCATGTTTATATTTTTATTTTTTAAGATTTATTTATTTATTTGAAAGTCAGAGTTACACAGAGAGAGGAGAGGTACAGAGAGAGAGAGAGAGAGAGAGAGAGAGATCTTTCATCCAATGGTTCACTCCCCAATTGGCTGCAACAGCTGGAGCTGTGCCAATCTGAAGCCAGGAGCCAGGAGCTTCTTCCTGGTCTCCCATGTGGGTGCAGGGGCCCAAGGACTGGAGCAATCTTCTATTGCTTTCCCAGGCCATAGCAGAGAGCTGGATCTGAAGAGGAGCAGCCGGGACTAGAACCAGCACCCATTTGGGATACCAGCGCTTCAGGACAGGGTGTTAACTCACTGAGCCACAGCGCCGGCCCCTATTTATTTATTTGAAAGTCAGAGTTACAGGGGGAGAGAGAGAGAGAGAGAGAGAGAGAGATCCTCCATCTGCTGGGTTACTCCCCAGACAGCACCAATTGGTTGGGGCTGGACCAGTTCAAAGCCGGGAGCCAGGAGCTTCCTCCAGGTCTCCCATGTGGGCAGCAGTGGCCCAAACACCAGGGCCATCTTCTGCTGCTTTTCCCAGGCCACTAGTAGAGAGCTGGACCAGAAGTAGAGCAACTGGAACATAAACCAGCGCACATATGGGATTCTGGCATTGCAGGTGGCAGCTTTACCCATTACATCACAACACTGGCACCAATGATCCATTTTGAAAAAAAAGAGTTATGCTATTTTTTGAAAGGCAGAGTTACAGAGAGAGTGAGAGACCGAAGGAGAGAAGTTTTTCAACTGCTGTTTCACTCCCTAAGTGGCCGCAATGGCCAGGGCTGAGTCAGGTTGAAGCCAGGAGCTGGGAGCTCGCACCTAGGTCTCCCACGTGGGTACAGGGGCTCAAATACTTGGGCCACCTGCTGCTTTTCCCTGGCCATTAGCGGGGAGCTGGACCAGGAAGTGGAGCAACTGGGACTGAAGCGGTGCCCATATGCGATGCTGGCATCACAGGAGGTGGCTTTACCTGCTACCTCATGAGGCCAGCTCCAGATGACCCATTTTAAATACATTTGGTGTGGACACCAACACTCGGAAGACAGTGGGTTTTAAGGAAGATCCTCTTTCTCTCTCTCAACATTTCTGTAATATGAACCTTTTCTACTCTTCATACAACCTTACATTCATAGTGATTAATAACGAAAGGGGCAAAACAACTCTCAGAATACACAAGTTTTGCCAGCAATGGTAGGCTTAAAACTAGAAATGGTTGTAAAATGGACGCACTAAACAGATGCCCTTTAAAGCTGAAGTTATACACATCCAAACACAGGAGGAGAAACACATTTTTCATGACAGGAAGGTTTAAAACAAAATCATTGATAGTAAGAATATCTGGAAAAAATGTGAAATCAGTTAAGTAAAAACAATATCTATTCATGATAATAATTATAATTAGGCAGACCCTTTGAGCAGTTGTATGTGAGATACTAAGTACTTTACAGCAATGTGTGAAACGTGGAACGAGGGGCTGGGGCTAAGCTTCCGCCTGCAATGGCAGCATCCCATATGAGCTCTGGCTGGAGTCTTGGCTGCTCCACTTCTGATCCAGCTCCCTGCTAATGTGCCTGGGAAAGCAGAAGAAGATGGCCCAAGTCCTTGGGCCCCTGTACACACGTGGGAGACCAGATGGAGCTCCAGGCTTTTGGCTTCAGCCTGGCCTAGCCTTGGCCATTGTGGCTATTTGGGGAGTGGGTCAGCAGATGGAAGATCTCTCTCCCACCCTCCTCTCCCTTTTCTGTATTTTTGCCTTTAAAATAAGCAAATAAATAAATAAATAAATACATCTTAAAATAAAAAGAAACACGAAGGAGTAAGAGCAATGATTATTCCCACTAAATGGATAATTCAATAGAGGCCTGACAAATAAAGTAACCTTTTCAAGGGCAGCTAGTGAATGGCAGAGATGCAATTCAAGCCTGGAAGTCTGACTTCAAAGACCACACTCAAAGCTGGATAAAGAGATGAACAGTAGGAGAGGGGATGGGCATTTGGCCTTGCAGCTGGGATGACAGGATGCTTGCGTCTCACATCAGAGTACCTGGGTTCAATCCCTGGCTCTGGCTCCTGACTCCAACTTCCTGCTAATGCAGACCCTTGGAGGTAGTGGAGATGGCTCAAGGAATTGAATCCAGCTCTGGCCATTGCTGGCATCTGAGGGTGGGAATGCTCTCCGTCTTGCATTCTTTCTCTCTCTCTCTTTTTTTTCCAAAAAATAAAATGAACAATTGTAAAAGCAAATTAAGAGAGAGATTGTGTCAGGGGTTCTCAGATCTGAGGATTTGCTAAAAGGACTCAAAGAACTCAGAAAAACTGTTTTGTTCCTGGTTATGGATTATTACAGGGAAAGGGTACAGATACACAAGGTAGAGCCCCAGCGACACAACCATCAGCTTCCACTTTTCCCCTGCCAGTGGCATCACATGGGCAGTGCTTAATTCTACCAATGATGTGTGAAAACACACATAGGAGCTATTGCCAAGCATGGAGGCTACCTGAGCTGTGGTATCTAGAGTTCTGTGTGTGTGTGTTGGGGGGGGCAGTCACATAGGTATGGGGCACCCATGTGCCTGACCTTAGCTACTCGGTCACCAGCCCCCTGCCCCACCCTAGAGATCAAACTGATACAGTGTGGCCCAAAGCTCCAGGTGAATGACCGTAAATCCCACTGTCAGTGTGCACCAGAGTCCATGTGCTCGGAGTTACTACCAAGGGCTGCTGGGCTGAGCCGGTCCTCCGTGGGGCTTGAGCCGACTGGGCCTGCTGAGTTCATCCTTTACTGCTCACAGGTGTGCTTAAGATTAAAAATAAAAGATAAGAAATAAAAAAAACAAAAGTGAAAGGCAATAAGGTTAAAAGCATCCAAAAATGGTTAAAAAAAGAAACTGAAAGTGGTTATTAGCCGTGAGGTCTGTAAAGGGTTTTCAGAGGAATTTCTCAGAAAGGACTTCCTGCCGAGACCACAGGCTGTCTTTCCCTGTAAGCAGGGCTTGGCAGGAAGCTGAGAACCAGCTAATCTCTTCGTCTCGTGCTCTGATTATGTCTTTTTGGGGGGTCAAGGGTGCCCACGTGCAAGCTTAAAGTAAAATGGTCTAAGCAGCAGGCTGGGGCCTAGGTTGCAACCAGAGAAAGACTGATTGTGGATCACCCTGAGAGAAGGTCCAGACGACAGTCACGGATGAGGACGTGGGTGGGGGGAAGATTCCAGCCGTGGTTGTTGGGGGAGGCTGTTCCCTGTGTCCCCACCCTACCCTTGGCCTGATGTCACTGGACACTTAGATCCATCTGAATGACATCTTGTCATCACACAGGGAGGACAGAGGAGGGGAGGAGCCTCTCCTGGTACCCGTTGTTTAATCTGAAACCAAATGTTTTTAAAAACTGAAGAGTAGGAGTTGGCGCCGTGGCTCACTTGGTTAATCCTCCACCTGTGGTGTCGGCATCCCATATAGACACCATGTTCTAGTTCCGGTTGCTCCTCTTCCAGTCCAGCTCTCTGCTGTGGCCCGGGAAGGCGTTGGAGGATGGCCCAAGTGCTTGGGCACCTGCACCCACCTGGGAGACCAGGAGGAGGCACCTGGCTCCTGGCTTCGGATCAGTGCAGTGCCGGCCGTAGCGGCCATTTGGGGGGTGAACCAATGGAGGGAAGACCTTTCTCTCTGTCTCTGTCTCTGTCTCTCTCTCTCTCTGTCTATAACTCTACCTATCAAATAAATAATAATAAAAAAAAACCTGAAGAGTGATGTCTGAAGAATGTGCAGGAATGCATGTGGAATAAATAAAATTTAAGACTTTGTGGAATGAGGGTGGAGAGTTAGAAATAACTGATGCTTAAGGAAGATTGACAGAAGAGAAATACAATAGTCAAGACAAATTAACCAGATTGCCCAAAGCCCAGTTATTTCCTACTGAAAAAATTGAGTTTCAAGGACTAAAGTGTCACCCACCCATCCAGAGAGCTTGTGAGCTGCAAAAGGAAAAAAAAAAAAAAAACAAACCAGGTTCTTCAGGTATCTTTTCTAAGAAATTAAACATTATAGGCAAAGGAAACCATATTCAAGCTGGAGGTCATCAGGAAGACCTTCTAAATATGCACAAATTCAGGTAGTGGCTCACTGAGGAAATTGAGTGAAGGCCTGTTCCAATTAAATGAGAAATGAATAAAAATAAGGAAATCAAGAATTGGTAAGCCTTAGTGAAGAGTATTGAAATCAATAAAGCACAAAATTAAGCCCAATTGTTTCAAATATGGTAATAAAATAGAACGAGTGACAAAATACAATTCTACACAAAGAAGATAATAATCCGAGTCCAAAGCCTCACACTCCCGTTTTAGCAAAAACAATGAACATTAACTTGGCATAAGTTGTGGTGGGTTCTCTCATTTCACCAGAGGGTCATTGGTGCTGTTTTATTTTTACTTTGCTAATTAGAGAAATACAGACTTACATGTCTTCTTAAAATATTAGTGGCAAATGCTAATTAAATTTAAAATAGAACCTGTAACTTCCAAATTACTTTAAAAAGGCAAAAAATCTAGGAAGAGATGGGCTTGGGGCCTTGTCTTTTCACCTCCCATGATTGCTAAGTTTTGTCCTTTCCCAGAATTTCTCGGTATAACTGAAAGATGGCCCTCTGTAGCCCACGGGATCCCTTCCTGTAACGCACAGTACTGTTCCGTGCAGTGAGCCCCTTGGCAGACTGATGAAGCCAGAGACCACTTCTCAGGATCATGAGTCATGAATTATTAAATAAATAAAAAATAACACAAGGATTATGAGCAAGAAAATGATATTGGAATACATTTATTCAAATATTTTAAGATGGAGATTAATTTCTCAAATAAGATCTAACTGTAAAGTCCAATAATGAATATAATCATTCATTATGTGATTATAAATTATATAGCTACTTCTAATATATCAGTAAATATTTCCGTTATCATCAGCCACTGTAATCAGATATGAGATCATCTCACTATTTACTATTCATGACAAAGTCAATCTCTTAATTGAAGGGAATTCTAAATTATGGTTGAAAATTAATGTAAGTAAAGATGATTTTTCTTCACTTCAAATTTAGAGATTACTGAATTTAAATGAACCCTGGGAAGCCCATGGACCCAGATCAAAGTCTCTTCAGAAAAATTTCTTCCCATCAAAGCGTGGCTTCTAAAAATGTGAACTCTCCCAAGATGATATACATGTATACTCCTGCCAACAATGTAGGAAAATCTCCATTCCTCTATTCTCTTTCAACATCAGGCAGAAACAAATGTTTTTAAACTTTACCAATCTATAAAAAAGAGGAGGGAGTGGTGATTCCATTGTATTTTATTTGGCTTTTCCATAATTTTCATTGTGATTTCTTTGTTTCTAATTTTTAAAAATCACATAAAATCTTCAATACATTACGTGTACTACAGAAAGTTCTGACATTCCTGGAGTAGCTATTAAACATTGTACATGTGCTACGTATCATCTTATACAAAACTTAAAAATAACATGAAGCTAAATGAGTCTTACATATTTCTTTATTTTGACTGATTCATTTTGTCATTTCTTCAGTAAATATCTATCTTTACTGAATATTTACCATGCACCAGAAAGCTTGGTGCGCAAATTGGGGACCGATGACCTCAACCTATAATTTTCAGGCATTTCAGTTTAATTTTCCGCATTTTTACATATTGGTAATACTCCCTAAGTAAATAACATACACTGTGGTAAAGGTGCTTGCAGCATAAGGATGTCGCCTTTAAGGAATGATATTTTTATTTCTTACAAGGCCCACTTTGAGAACTCCTCCTTGTACCAGTAGTAATCTCCACATCTCTCATTCTCTCATTTGCAAGTGTTCTTACCCGTAATGTCCTGAGGTCAGTTTCCCACAAGTTGGGTTGTAGTAAAAGACGGGCAGTACCTGTTAGATACTATGCAGTCAGCTAAAGTGATCTGGAATCTCAGCTTAAACTGGGCGTCCTCAGTGTATTTCGACATCCTGATAGTGGGATTCTTAATGGCTACCTCTGCTGCCCTCTGCTGGCTGAACGGAGTTGGCAACATCCAGAGGAAGGGACTGTCTTGGTATCTGCAAGCACACTTGTCCCAAACACTGCGCAGGGCCTCCTACAAAGCCATCCAGGCAATACAGATTTGAATTATCTAGCAATACACAGAACAAATTGACAGCTGGGGATATGGGACTGCCATTTATGCACACATTCAGGAATGGCATCTCCCTCTCTCCGATTTCCTAGACATCAACATCTTGTCATCCTTGAACTACTTTGTCATGCTTGGTCCAGGTCCTCAGAGACAGCCGGAGTATATCTGAAGTATAAAAGATTATTGGGAGAATGGCTGTGAACCAAAAAGGGAAGGAACCAGGGGAGGCTGGGAGCAGTGTCATCTGTAGTGCAGAGAGAGAGAGAAGGAGAGAGAGAGGATTTCAGGACCTCACTGGTCAGTCACACGACCTCTACTAGGAGATCTTACAAATGCATCTCCGTGACCCCCACATCAGTCGGTCGGAAAATCCTTTTAGCTTCACCTTTAGTGTCCTACCACTGCTCGGCCTCTCCATGATTACCACCCTGCTCCAACCTGTTGCCTTCCAGCCTCCACCCTGGACTTCCCACGGTCTTCTCTGTTACAGCACCTTGTTAGTTATGGGTGTCTGTCCCTGGCTCAAAACCTCGAAAAGCCTTTCCTGTTCAGAACAGAAGCTTCAGTCCCTACCATGGCCTACAGGACCCCACAAAAGCTGGCCCGGGGGGTCTCTCTGAGTTCTCTTACGCTGCCTGCTCTGCTTTGTATACCACAGATAGTCTTCACCTTGGCTTTGCAGATTCTCCTGTTGCCTGGGATACTCTTCCTCCAAATGGTGACATGGAAATCCTTCCTTAAGGACTTTCCTCTAACGCCATCTGTTCAATGAGGACCTCTGATAATCTCATTTTCAATGGCCAAGCTGCTCCTCTGCACACCCTTTAGCCCTCCTTGTCTTTTCATCACAGCACAAACAAGTATCAGATATACTATAAAGCTTATTAACTTTAATTGCCTCATTTTTTTCACTAGCATATAAGAACTAGGAAAGTAAGAATTCTTGCCTTCTTTTTTCATTGTTGACTCCACAGTGCCTGGAACAGTGCCGCCTGGCACATAGTTGGTGCTCAGTAAATGTGCACTGAATGTTTAAGTGAATAACAGATTGAATTTATGTGTCTTTTTTTTTAAAAGATGTATTTTATTTATTTGAAAGACAGAGTTACAGAGAGAGAGGTAGAAGACAGACAGAAAAATCTTCCATCCACTGGTTCACTCCCCAAATAGCCGGAGTTGAGCAGATCCAAGGCCAAGAGCCAGGAGCTTCTTCCAGGTCTCCCATGTGGGTACAGAGGTCCAAGCACTTGGGGCATCCTTCGCTGCTTTACCAAGCACATTATTAGGAAGTGGAGCAGGCAGGACTCAAACTGGTGCCTCTGGGAAACGCTGGCACTGCAGGCAGGGGCTTTAACCAGCGGCACCACAGCGCTGACCCCTCGTGTTTTTTGCTTTAGGTTAACTGAAGGCTTGGCTATAGATATGAGTCTGACCACTCAATGAATCCAAAGGCAGAGTTAAGAAATGGATTCAGGGGACCAGTACTGTGGTACAATAGGCTAAGCCACTGCTTGCAATGCTAACATCCCATATGAACACCATTTCAAGTCTCAGGTGTTCCACTTCCCATCCAGATCCCTGCTAATGTGCCTGGGAAAGCAGTAAAAGATGACCTGAGTGCATGGGTCCCTGCCACTCACATGGGAGACCCTGATGGCTGCTGGCCTTGATTTGACCCAGCCCTGGCTGTTGTGGCCATTTGGGGAGCGAATCAGCAGATGGAAATGGAAGATTCTCTCTCTCTCTCTCTCTCTCTCTCTCTCCCTCTCTCTGTCTCTCTCCCTCCCTCCTTCCCTCCCCCCTCATTCTGCTTTTCAAATAAATAGATTAATATTTATGTAAAAACAAATGGATTCAGGAGCAGATGTTTGGGTGAGGGGTTAAGACACTGCTTGAACCGGGTTCTAGTCCCGGTTGGGGCGCCGGATTCTGTCCCGGTTGCCCCTCTTCCAGGCCAGCTCTCTGCTATGGCCAGGGAGTGCAGTGGAGGATGGCCCAGGTGCTTGGGCCCTGCACCCCATGGGAGACCAGGAAAAGCACCTGGATCCTGGATCCTGCCATCGGATCAGCGCGGTGCGCCGGCTGCAGCGGCGGCCATTGGAGGGTGATCCAACGGCAAAGGAAGACCTTTCTCTCTCTGTCTCTCTCTCTCACTGTCGACTCTGCTTGTCGTAAAAAAAAAAAAAAAAAAAAAGACACTGCTTGGGACATCCACATCCCATATTAGAGTGCCCGAGTGTGAGTCTCCTCTCTGCTCCTGACTCCACTTTCCTGTTATTGCACACTCTAGGAGTCAACAGCTCATGTGGTTAAAAGTACTTGCAATGCTCTCCTGGCCGTCTTCACTTATACTTATTTGCACTTGTTACAGTTCTATGAGCATGCATGGATTTCTAAAATAAAATAAAATTATCTTTCAGGGACTGGCATTGTGGAGCAATGAGTTTTAGCTGCTGACTGTGTTGCTGCCATCCCATATGGGTGCCGGTTCAAGTCCTAGCTGTTCCCCTTCTGATCCAGCTCTCTACTATTGTGCCTGGGAAAGCAGCAGAAGATGGTCTAAGTATTTGACTGTCATTCATGTAGGAGACTCAGGTGGAGTTCTAGTCTCTTGATTTTGGTCTGGTCCAGCTGTGGGTATTGTGGCTATTTGGGGGATGAACCAGCAAATGGAAGATCTCTCTCTCTCTCTCTCTCTCTCTCTCTCTCTGACTCTCCCTTTCTGTCTGTAACTCTGCATTTTAAATAAATAAGTAAATCTTTTCAAATACTTTTCATTACATTTTCCATGAAAATTTTGAAATACCCTCATGTAGTTATTTGATAGTTGTTGCTTTAATACCCATCTCCCCTTCAGAATGAGAACCTCTGGGGGGCACAGATTGTGTAGATCTTAACCCATTTACATCCTTAGTGCTTTGCACAAGCATGGCCTTTAGAAGGTATTAGATGAATGAGTGAATGGGCACCAATGACTTCGATGTCTCTGTGAGTGACACACTTTTCTCTAAGAATATTGACTGTCACTGAATGTCCATAGAAATTTGAGAGCTCTGGAATTATGATTTGTCACACTATTCGAATGAATACATGTCAATGTATACTCCCTATTGTCCAGGGAATAATCACATCTAACGTTGAATGTGATTTTGTGCATTTATTTGCTTTGAGTAGATAATAAGTAGAAAATACCTCTGACGTGGAATCTTATCTAGAAAAGCATCAGACAAATGGGGATTAGGCAAATCCCAGCACCACTATTTTCATCCTGCTCAGGCTCCAGCCCCTATCTTTAATCTCTGGCTATTGATATTTCCTTCCAGGGATATCATGAGAACAAGTAATAAGGTTGTGCAAAAGTGTGGCTCACTGAATGCTGGCACCCTTACTCTGTTACAATCGAGATTGAGTTGCATTCTGCCCTATAGAAGCTCCCATTTTCACCTTCAAGGGAATTCTTCATCAAGGATTTCTCCAATGTCTGAAACATCTGCATACTGTGCAAGACAAGCATGTTGGCTGGAACATAGGTCTATCGAGAAAAACATCAAAATCGCAGAAAGCAAATCTTCTGTAATGTCCCAAGCCTCCAGCAACATCGCTAAATTTGCTGGGACCACGAAAGAGTTTCCAGTTCTGTCAGGAAGATTCCGCTGGCCAGTGACAATGTTTTCTTCCTGAAGTTTCCCATTTCTGTAGGTGAATTCACATGCCACATTTCCATTAATTAGATGTGCAATTGGAAGAGTGGAAGTGTGAATCCTCAGAGTGTGAACCCCCGAGAGAGCTTTCCTGAGGACATGTGAACATTCAACAGTTCACGGCATCGAGGCCTCCACAGAGGTCCTGTCTCCACTTTCCCTAATCCACATTTTTTAAAATTCCCAGGTTACAACACATCAAGATGCGACCTTTTCTTCTGGTCAATGTGGTATAGGGAAACGGGATGAGGTGTGTCCAGCTCTTCTGTCTTAGTAAAGTTACTTTTCAAATAAAAGAAAATTCATGGATGCACATTTATCCTGAAGCATCTGGTGAACTAGGTCTTACCTGAAACTGAATCAGAATGATTTTTGCAACCTGCTTTCTTAAAAATGTGCATTGGGCATGGAAACACAAACGTCATCAGCCTGTTGGAACTCAGCTGGTTTCAGTTGGGCAAACAGCTCCAGATAAGAAATGTCCTCACTACAATACCATTGTCATTGACCTGTCATGTTCATCACAAGAAAATCAACTGAAAGAGGCAAATTGACCTTGCCTAGTGAACAATAGTAAATGTGATACACACTGTGTTGCAAAAATGTCATGATCAGGAGAAATCCTGCTGAGGACAGAAAAAATGTTATCAAAAGGGTGGCTACATTTAGAAGGCTGCAGCTGGACACTGGTAAGATTTTATTCACCTAGAATTGTGGTGGAAAATTCACATTCCTACTGGTGTGAAATAGCTGACATAAGTAGCAGAGGTTGGAATAATGGGCTTGCTTCCACTTCATCACACACTGAAGAGAGCGTGAACCACCCATGGCTGCAGCAACTTCTTAGGTCTAATTGACAGTTGCCTTGTAGCGATGAGGCCTGGCCAGATCTGAGTTTTCAAAAAAACTGTAAATACAATCATGTATTGAATGATCTATTTAAAAAAAGTTGACCCATTATCTTCTAAAAAAATTATACATGTCTCATTTGACAGATTTGAGAGATTTGGAGGATAAGGTTAGGAAAGGGACTCTATCCTCATTTGTTCATTCACTGAACATGTCCTGAGTACCTTCTCTCTCTCTCTCTCTTTTTTTTTTAACAGGCAGAGTGGACAGTGAGAGAGACAGAGAGAGAGAAAGGTCTTCCTTTTGCCATTGGTTCACCCTCCAATAGCCGCCGTGGCCGGCGCGCTGCGGCTGGTGGACTGCGCTGATCCAAAGGCAGGAACCAGGTGCTTCTCCTGGTCTCCCATGGGGTGCAGGGCCCAAGGACTTGGGCCATCCTCCACTGCACTCCCTGGTCACAGCAGAGAGCTGGCCTAGAAGAGGGGCAACTGGGACAGAATCCGGTGCCCCGACCGGAACTAGAACTCGGTGTGCCAGCACCGCAAGGCGGAGGATTAGCCTAGTGAGCCGCGGGGCCGGCCACCTTCTCTTTTCATGCTTCTGCCTAGTGTGCTAGATCGCTGCTGATGTGGAGTTGCAGGAAAGGAAGAGTGATGTGACTAGGACAGCTTTCTTTCTTTCTTTCTTTTTTTTTTAAGAAACCTTTTATTTAATGAATACAAATTTTATAAGTACAACTCTAGGAATACAGTGATTCTTCCCCTGGAACCCACCCTCCCAGCCTTATTCCCATCCCACCTCTTCCTCCCTCTCCCATCCCATTCTTCATTAAGATTAGTTTTTAATTAACTTTATGTACAGAAGACTAACTCTATACTAAGATTTCTTTTTCTTTCTTTTTTCTTTTTTTTTTTTTGACAGGCAGAGTGGACAGTGAGAGAGAGAGACAGAGAGAAAGGTCTTCCTTTTGCCGTTGGTTCACCCTCCAATGGCCGCCACTGCCGGCGTGCTGCGGCCGGCGCACCACGCTGATCCGAAGGCAGGAGCCAGGTGCTTCTCCTGGTCTCCCATGGGGTGCAGGGCCCAAGGACTTGGGCCATCCTCCACTGCCTTCCCGGGCCACAACAGATAGCTGGACTGGAAGAGAAGCAACCGGGACAGGATCCGGTGCCCCGACTGGGACTAGAACCTGGGGTGACAGCGCCACAGGTGGAGGATTAGCCTAGTGAGCTGCAGCGCCAGCTTATACTAAGATTTCAACAATTTGCACCCACACAGACACACACAATATAATGAACTGTTTGAGAACAAGTTTTGCAGTTAAGTCTCATAGTACCACTCATTAAGGACAGAGGGACTGCATGGTGAATAAGTGCACAGTGACTCCTGTTCTTAATTTAACAATTAACACTCTTATGTATGACATCAGTGATCACCTGAGGCTCTTGATGTGAGTTGACAAGGCTATGGAAGCCTTTTGAGTCCACAGTCTCTGTCAGTGTTTAGACAAGGCCAAAAGCAAAGTTCTCTCCTCCCTTCAGAGAAAAGTAGATCCTTCTTTGATAGTCCCTTACTTCCCCTGGGGTCTCAGAGATCCTTCATGTAGGATTTTTTTTTTCCACAGTGTCTTGACTTTCCATGCCTGAAATGCTCTTATGGGCTTTTCAGCCAGAACAGAATGCCTTCAGGGCTGATTCTGAGGTCAGAGTGCTGTTTAGTGCATTAGTGCATTTGTCATTCTATGAGTCTGCTGTGTAGACTGCTTCCCATGTTGGAACATTCTCCCCTTTTTAATTCTATTTATTTTTTTTAATATTTATTTTTATTTATTTGAAAGAGTTACACAGAGAGAGGAGGCGCAGAGAGAGACAGAGAAAGAGAGAGAGAGAGGTCTTGCATCTGATGGTTCACTCCCCAACTGGCTGCAATGGTCAGAGCTGTGCCAATCCGAAGCCAGGAGTCAGGAGCCTCTTCTGGGTCTCCCACGTGGGTACAGGGGCTCAAGGACTAGGGCCATCTTCTACTGCTATCCCAGGCCATAGCAGAGAACTGGATAGGAAGTGGAGCAGCCAGGACTAGAACCAGCGCCCATATGGGATGCCAGCGCTTCAGGCCAGGGCATTAACCCACTGCACCGCAGCACTGGCCCCTCTATTTATTGTTAATACTAGACACTTGATCTTATTTATATGATCCTTTTGACACTTAATCCTATCTATACGATAAATTAAACACTTAATATGGCCATTTTAACACAAAAGATGGCATTTTTACCACCCATATTTAGAGTCCCATGGAAAGTTTTTAGCTTTACCCTTAGAAGTAAGTCAGTGGGAATGTATGCAGAACTATATAGCCCTTCTCTCTCTTATTCCCACTCTTATTTTTTACTGAGATGTATTTTAAATTGACTTTATGCACAAATGATTAATTCTGTTAGGTAAAGAGTTCAACCAGTGGGATTAAGTAGGAAAAATGTAAAAATAATAAAAAAAAATAGAATAAAAAACTTTCATTGACAGTCAAGGTAAGGGCTGTTCAAGTCATTGCTTCTTATAGTGTCAATTTCACTTCTACAGGTTTCCTTTTAGGTGCTCTGTTACTCTGGTAGTTATCACAGATCAGGGAGAACATATGGTATTTTTCCCTTTAGGACTGGTTTATTTCACTAAGTATGATGTTTTCCAGATTTATGCATTTTGTTGCAATTTACTTTTTTTTTTTACTGCTGTGTAGTATTCTATAAAGTACTTATCCCATAATTTCTTTATCCAGTTAGGACAGCTTTCTGACCTCAAAGAGCTTTCAGTGTAGTAGTAAAATAAGACATAAACAAAGACTTTATTAAAAGTGTTTCAAATGGAAAAATATTTCCATTTAAGCTATAATTGTTTTCTAAATAGAGTTGATCCCTTTAAGAAAAAAAATTCTGCAAGTCTTTTTTTTAAGCCAAGTTTCTTAACAACTTTTGGAAAGGCAAAATGATGGGATTTAACTTGAATTAGTGACCTACAAAAGCCCATGTTCTTTGTACATTAGAGTAAGGAGAATTGGAAGCTCTCCTGGGTAATACAGAGGAGTCAAAGCGAGGATGAGAGATGACATAGGAAAGAGGACTACTGCTGGGTGAAATGTCCAGGCACTGAGGCTAAAAACACACAGTCAGGGATGTCTCTTGTTCAGTTTCTCAATGTCTTCTCTACTATGCCAAATATAAGAAATTACATTACACAGGCCCTTGTGTAATTCTTAATTTTTAATGTTTGCCAATCAAACAAAAAGGGTGAACTCTGAGGAAGTGGTAAGGGATATAGAGAATATGGTAGGATAATGAGAAAGTTTATTTTTCAGGGAAACAGGAGGCAGAGCTGAAATAAAAAGGGAACTTGCTTCCAAGAAGTAGTCTCACAAAGGGTCACTGGACTGTCCTCTAGGTGTGGGCCTTTTCTCTCAGCTTATCAACCTTGGTTTACATAAGGCAGCAAATGCTCCAAAGGATTAAGTACTGTACAGGGAGAGATCACTCTTAATTTGGGGAACCTGAGAAAGTGATCTGCTTTGAACTGGCCCTGGAAGAGAGAGGATGCTAGATAAATTATACTTAAGAACCAGAATGGAGAGGTCTGGGGTTGGGCTGGGCGTCACTGTGATTGTGGCTGCAGTCAGAACACAGTTTGTCCTGAGTCACTTACCACTTAGAAGCATCATGGACTCTGAGGAGATACAAGAAGCTCCTGCCTTTGTGCTCTTGGTTTGGGTACTCAATCCCTCAGCTCCAAGGACCTCTCAGTTCTGAGGCACCTTGCAAGTTAAGGTACAAATTCATTCCACTTATCTGCCTGTCTGTCTGTTGTCCCCAGAGGCAAATTCTTCAGTTTTCTCTTCCCTCATTGGCTCAGGACATATCTCCTCACCTTGTCAGCGAAGCAGCTATTGGTTTGCTCTTGTTAACTAGCAAATCTTAAAACTCAATGCCTTCAAGGGACACTGTCCTTGTGTGTTACTATTGTGTGCTGTGTAGGCTCAGCTGAGTAGTTCGGTTGATCTTGCTTGGAGTCTCTTTGTGAGAGAGCGTGTTAGTTCCCTCAAGCTCTCAAGTTAGTATTCTGCCCTGGTTAAAGCGGGGGCAGTACTTTATGCTCCTCTTGCATATCCCTGCTCCAACATTCACTGCTGGTGGGTCTGATCCTTCCCAAGCCAGGAGCCACAGGCCAACACCCACTGTCCTCTGGGACTTGATGTGGGGAAATGCTGGCTATAAAAGGTAACATGGCATAAAGTTTAATACAAACAAAGATTGTTCTGGTATCTTTCACTTTGGAATTGTTGTAGGTTGAATCATGTTCTCCACAAAGCTATGTTGACATTTTAATTCCTGGTACTGACATGGGCTAGGCAGGGAGTTAGTGAGCCAAGGAACTGAAAGAGTACTAATGGCATTCGTGCCGCAGCCCTTTCTGTGCCAGTCCAGCATGGCTGCAGGCTTGGCACACCAGCTTGCCTATCTTGCACCTGAGCCTCACTTCAAAAGATGCCATGATGAACACATGTGTGCTGCAGCTCCACGTTGGAGACCTTCCTAGAGATCCCCTCTTGCACTGAAGCCCTGCCCAAACTCCACCCCAGTTGTATGTTTAGTTATGGCACCACCTTTATCCCATAAAGGAGCAACCTGAACATTGGTAGGGGCAGTGGCCACTCTTTACTCATGAGGAAAGAATTCACATTCATGTCTCAGAGTGTGCTATGCTTTTAAATAAATCTTACTTACTTTCTTGTACCTTATCTATGTTTCTGCTTTGATTTGTTCTCTTAAGAACTTGGAGTAAACTCAGTGGGGGATGACATACCCTAGAACAGCACCTCAGCATATGACCTTACTTGGAAAAGGATAATTGCAAATATAATTAGTTAATTCGAGGTGATTTTGGAATAAGGTGGACCCTGGATCCAATATGGTTAATGTCTTCATAAGAAGAGAGAAGCACAGAGGGGAGGTGGACATTTGAGGACACAGACAGGGAGAAGTTAGAGAACACTGAGTGACAGCAGAAGCAGGATTAGGATGATGGCATGTTTAAGCCAAGGAATGTCATTGATTGCCAGCAGCTGAAGAAGCAAGGAAGGATTCTCCCCTACAGCTTTCAGAGGAAGCCAGACTCTGCCCATGTCCTTGGTTTGGACTTCAGACTCTAAAATGTGAGACAACAAATTGATGTTTTTTTAAACCACTCAATTTCTGATCCTTTTTTTTTTTCTTTTTTTATAATAGGTGCTCCAACACAGGAATGAGCCCAATACAGCCACGTATTGCTGAACAACAGGGAGACTTTCTGAGAAGTGCATTCCTGGATAATCTTGTCATTATGCTAACCTTTAAGAGCATACTTACATGAGCCTACCAGGTACTGGGCAATCACTTGATGTGGCTTCTTGATGTAACCGAGAAATGTAAACATGAGATGCATGAGGCTGCTGCCAGTATAGCACAACGCTGCCTTATAGTGAGTTTTTTTTTTAATTTTTGGAATTTATTTATTTAAGAGTCATAAAGACAGAGAGGGAGAAGGCGGGGATGGGGGAACAGGGAGAAGCAGATCGAGAGAGAGAGAGAGAGAGAGAGAGAGAGAGAATGAGAACTCCCATCTTCTGATTCATTCCCCAAATGCTTGTTAACATTTAGGTCTAGGCTAAGTCAGAGCTGGGAGCTGGGAGCTGAGAACTGAATCCAGGTCTCCCACATGGGTGACAGGGACCCAACAACTTGAGCCATCACCTGTTGCCTCCAAGGGTGTACATCAGCAGAAACTGGAATCTGGAATGGAGCCAAGATTCAAATGCAGCCATTTTGATAAGGGACGCAGGTGTCTCAACCTGTGTCTTAACTGTTAGGCCAAAAGCCTTCCTCAAAGTCTTTTTTTTTTTTTTTGACAGGCAGAGTGGACAGTGAGAGAGAGAGAGAGAGAGAGACAGAGAGAAAGGTCTTCCTTTGCTGTTCGTTCACCCTCCAATGGCCGCCGCGGCCAGCGCACTGCGGGTACACCGCGCTGATCCAAAGGCAGGAGCCAGGTGCTTCTCCTGGTCTCCCATGGGGTGCGGGGCCCAAGCACTTGGGCCATCCTCCACTGCCTTTCCGGGCCACAGCAGAGAGCTGGCCTGGAAGAGGGGCAACCAGGACAGAATCCAGTGCCCCGACCGGGACTAGAACCCGGTGTGCCGGTGCCGCAAGGTGGAGGATTAGCCTACTGAGCCGTGGCGCCAGCCAAGTTTTTCTTTTTTTTAATATGTATGACTGCACTCTAAAATAATAACATAGTGAGATGACTACAGATAATGATAATGCATTACACATTCCTCTTAAAAAACTAGAACAAAGTTTTGAATATTTTCACTTTAAAGAAATTTTAAATGCTTGAGAAAATAGAAATGTTTACTCTGATTGGATATTACACAATCTATACACATATCAGATCTTCACATGGGACCCCATAAGTATGTGCAATTTTTACGTGTCAGTTAAAATAAAAATATTATTAAAGATAAGTAGCAATGTAGGAGATACACAAATAAGTTACATAGCCATTTGTTATCATTATCTGGTATTCTGTACTGTACATACTTGGGTGTGCTATACTTTTATGTGGCTGGGAGCCCTGTATGAACATCATCACAAACATACGACTCATACATTGTGCAACAACACCACAATGCCAGATGAATATTCAGCTCCATTATAATCTTATGGGAACTCCATTGTATATGTGTTCTTTCATTGACAAAAGAGTGTCATGTAGTGCGTGATTATATAGGGGTTCTCATACCATGGAAATAATTCACTTTTTTTTTTTTTGACAGGCGGAGTGGAAAGTGAGAGAGAGAGAGACAGAGAGAAAGGTCTTCCTTTTGCTGTTGGTTCACCTTCCAATGGCCGCCACAGCTGGCACGCTGCAGCAGGTTCACCCAAGCACTTGGGCCATCTTCCACTGCCTTCCCGGGCCACAGCACAGAGCTGGCCTGGAAGAGGGGCAACTGGGAAAGAATCCAGCGCCCCAACCGGGACTAGAACCCGGTGTGCCGGCGCCGCTAGGTGGAGGATTAACCTATTGAGCCACGGTGCCAGCCGTAATTCACTTTTGATAGATTCAACTATCAGTGTTTCCTTGTTTCAGTTCAAATGCAAATGCTTATGGATCCTAGTTTCATGACTTGGGGGACAGTTATGTATAGTAGTTAGGTGCACAGGCTCTGTATCCAGACTACCTCTCCTGAAATTCAGGCTTTATTTTTTACAAGCTGTGAGCCTTGGACAGATTTACTTTCTTTGTGTGTCAGTTTTCTTACTATGAAATGATGATAATAACAGAGCATGGGATCTTAAGAGAATTAGAATAGTAAATCCAGACAGTATTTACAACATTCAACAAAATATTTGAGAAATAACCCATGTTTATTGCAGCTCAATTCATGATAGCTAAGATATAGAATCAACCCAGATGTCTATCAACTGATGATTGGATAAAGAAATTATGTATACTGTGAGTACTACTCAGCTATAGAAAAGAGTAAAATTCTGTCTTTGGCAACAAAATGGATGGATGTAACTGGAAAACATTATACTTAGTGAAATAAGTCAGTCCCCAAAAGACAAACACCAAATGTTTTCCCTGTTCTATGGTAACTTATAGAGTACCAAAAATGCAATGTATAGGAGGGAAATTAACACTTTGAGATTTGATGATTGTTTACAGCTCTTGTCTCTACTGTTGAGGAACAGTGTTTTTTCCTTCTAACTATTTGTTGAACTTTTTAAAAAGTTTTTTAAATATTCATTTATTTTACTTGAAAGTCAGAGTTACACAGAGAGAGAAGGAGAGGAAGAGAGAGAGAGAGAGAGAGAAAGAGAGAGTGAGAGAGAGAGAGGTCTTCTATCCACTGGTTCACTCCCCAATTGCCCACAACGGCTGGAGCTGTGCCGATCCAAAGCCGGGAGCCAGGAGCTTCTTCTGGGTCTCTCATGCGGTTACAGGGGCCCAAGGGCTTGGACCATCTTCTACTGTTTTCCCAGGCCATAGTAGAGAGCTGGTTAGGAAGTAGAGCAGCAAGGACTCAAACTGGCATTCATATGAGATGCTGGCACTGCAGGTGGCAGCTTTACCTGCTACGCCACAGCACCAGCCCCATGAACTCTTTTCTTAGTGTACAGTTAATCTCATGAGTATAGCATAAACTGAAAATAGATCATTGTAAAAATTAATAGAGGGGATAAGAGAGGAATGAGGAGGGAGGAAGGGTGGGAACAGGGGCTGAAGGGAAGTATCACTGTGTTCCTAAATCTGTATATATGAAATCTGTTTACCTTATGGCATGTGCCAATGCCATCTCACTACTCCAAGTGATCAATTTCAGTTCACAATTGATCATAATGAAAGGACTAAGAGTCAAAGGGAGCACATAAACAAGTCTAGTATCTGCTAACACCAACCGATAGAATAAATAAAGGGGAGAGTGATCCAACATGGGAAGTGAGATACTCAGCAGACTCATAGAATGGCGGATGTCCTAAATAGCACTCTGGCCTCAGAATCAGCCCTAAAGGCACTCGGATCTGGCTGAAAAGCCCATGAGAGTATTTCAGGCATGGAAAGCCAAGACACTCTGGCAAAAAGATCTCTGTGAGTGAGATCCCAGTGGAAAGAACAGGTCTTCAAAGAGGGAGGTGCCTTTCTCTGAAGGGAGGAGAGAACCTCCACTTTGACTATGACCGTGTCTAAACAAGATAAGAGTCGGAGAACTCAAGGGGCTTCCATAGCCTTGGAAACTCATAACTGGTGCATAGGGAGATTACTGATGCCATAAACAGGAGTGTCAATTGGTAAAGTCAACAACAGGAGTCACTGTGCACTTACTCCTCATGTAGGATCTCTGTCCTTAACGTGCTGTACACTGAGGCTTAATGCTATAACGAGTACTCAAACAGTATATTTCACTTTGTGTTTCTATGGGGGTGCAAACGACTGAAATCTTTACTTAATGTACACTAAACTGATCGTCTGTAAAAAAAAAAAAAAAAAGAAAAGAAATTATCAATTCCCAACTTGACTCTCACTGGGATTAAACATGACAATAGGTCTGATCTGATTTCATCATCATTTAAAAAAAATCATCTATTATTTTTCACTTTATGTTTCTGTGTGGGAGCAAACTGTTGAAATCCTTACTTAATGTATACTAAGCTGATCTTCTGTATATTAAGATAATCGAAAATGAATCTTGATGTGAATGGAAGGGGAGAGGGAGTGGGAAAGGGGAGGGTAGTGGGTGGGAGGGACGGTATGGGGGGGGAAGCCATTGTAACACATGAGTCGTACTTTGGAAATTTATATTCATTAAATAAAAGATTAAAAAAAAAAAGAAATCTGTTTACCTTAAATAAAATTTTAAAAAAGAAGAAAAGAAATAACCATAAATCTAGTTCTTTTTATCTGACCTATTTTATCTGAGCAAAGAATAGTGCCTGTTCCTGAGGGTAAAACGTCTCTAACTTTCTTTATTAAATTTTTATTTACTTGAAAGTCAGAGAGAGATGCAGAGGGAGAGATCTTTCATCTATCACTTCACTCCCTAAATGCCTGCAGCATCTGGGACTAGCCCAGGCTAAGGCCAAGAGCCAAGAGGTATATCCCACCTGGGTAGCAGGGACATGGGAACTTGAACCATTACCTGCTGCCTCCAAGGGTGCATGTTAGAAGAAACTGGAATCCAAATTGGAGCAGAGACTCTAATGGAGCAGGCACTCGACAATGCAGGTGTCCTAAGTGATGTCTTAGCTACTGAGCCAAATGCCCACCCCTGTCTCTAGGCTTCTGAGGCAAGATTGCTACAGTAGCATTATAACCACTGGGATGTTAGATGAAGTGGATTGCCATAAATTTCAGGAAAAAAGTACAGGGCTCCTCAAAATTGAAGTTCTCAGGGCAGGTGTTTGACTTAGTGATTAAGACACTTACATACCATATCAGAATACTTTGGACTCATTTCCCAGGTCTAACTCCTGATTCAAGATTCCCCATAATGTAGACTCGGGGGCGGGGGGAAGAGGTCATGGCTCAAGTAATTGGGTCATTGCCACCTACATGGGAGACCCAGATTGAATTCCCAGCTCCTAGCTTCTGCCCTACCCAGCCCTGCTCATTGTAGGCATTTGGGGAGTGAATCCGTAGTTGGGAATTCTCTCTGTCTGTCTCCCTCTTTCAAATGATAGCAATAAAATTTTTTTAAGTTCTCAGACTGTAAAGGCTGGAAGAGCAGCAGTACAAATAAATTTAGAACTCTTGAACCAGTGCCCATATAAGATGCCAGCACTGCAGGCAATGGCTTTACCTGCTACGCCACAGCACCAGCCCCCAATTAATTAAATTTTAAAATATGGCAGAGTTCACAGACTAGAGGTTTGGTAGCATGTAAAGTAAGAAAGCAATATTCAAAACAAGCCAATGTGAAATTATGACCAAGAGAGTTTATTGAGGAATAATTAATCCCCTAGCATTTATCAGAAAGATTGATTTCTCACCAAATTATGTTCTCTTTTGTGGCTTTTCTTATATAATCATTTTTGTAACAGAACACATGGTGGTTGACAGAATATAATATGGGTTTTAGAATCAAACACATAGCACATAGTTTGAAGATATATTTATGTCTATATATCTATATCTACATCATCTATATTTATGTCTATATCATCTATATTTCTATAGATGATCTATATCTATCTCTTTATATCAACCTATTTGCTGTGTAAACTTAACTACTTTGAATCTCAGTTTCCTCATCTGTAAGGCTTCAATTATTTATAGTGGTCATACTGTACCTACTACCAAGTAGAAACTGAATTTCCATCAGTTTTTCCTCATCTCCTCTGCTCTTCTCATTTTATTTAGGATCTTAACATTTTAAAACTTTTATTTTCATTTTATTTTAATGGCAGAGCTGGGGAAAGATAACTTTCATTTGCTGGCTCATTCCCCAAATGCCTGTAACAGCCAATGTTAGGCCAGGATTAAGCCAGAAGACTAGAGCTCAATCTGGGTCTCCCACATAGGTGGCAGGTACTCAAGTACTATTAGGTTATGCATTAGCAGGAATTTGGATCAGAAATGGAGGAACCTGGACTCAAACAAAGTATTCTGTATGGGAAGTGGGCATCCCAAGTGGAATCCTAACCACCGTGGCAAATGTGAGCCGCTATTTGTGGTCTTATAGGAACTCTGAGAGTCAGGAGACTGCGACTCTAGTTCTGATTTGAACACCATCCAGCTGTGCCTAATGTTGCAAGCCACCTGCCCAGTGTGCCTCAGGCTAGTTTAGCTGGATTATCTCTATGATTATTCAGTTCTCAAGTTCTATATGCAGTGGGAATGACTCATTCCACAAACTCACAAGTGCAAGTCGTGCCATGCATATGACACATAAGCTTTCTGTTGTCCTCTCCACCTCTGCCACACACACTCAGCACAATATATGTATCTGGTAGTCCTTTCTATGAGTGCTCTATTTGCCTTCTTCCCTCTAGAGAAGAACTGCTAGAAACAATTTTCTTTCTTTCTTTTTAAAAAAGATGCATTATTAATTAAAAAATTTAAAAAGAGACGCATTTATTTGAAAATCAGAGAGAGAGAGAGAGAGAGAGAGAGAGAGATGCATCTTCCATCTGCTGGTTCCAGATGGTTGCAACAACTGGAGTTGGGCCAGGCGCTCCTTCCAGGTCTCCCACATGGGTGGCAGAGGTCCAAGCACTTGGGCCATCTGCTACTGCTTTTATAAGATCATTAGTAGGGAGCTGGATCAGAAGTGGAACATCCATGACACTAATCAGCACCTATATGAATGTCGGCATTGCAAGTGCTGGCTTTACCCAACTTTACCCGCTACGCCGCAACACAGCCCCTGGAAGTTTTCTATGGTTGTGGGCTCTACTTGGTTGCCTTCAATTACATACACAACACTGTCATCTTCAAGGTTCCCTTACAATTCCTATCTTGCAATATCTAGTAGTCAGGATGTAATTATTATCTCTTCTCACGAGCTTTGGGCGTAGTGAATGTCATACCTTTTTGAATGCCTTTATTTTGCTTTTTGCTCCCTCATATTTCCTGCTTATCTCCCTAATTTACTGGTTATCCATTTTCTTTTGTTGTTTTTTCCTCTTCTCCTCAATGTCAAGTATTGGAAGATGCATGGCTTAGTGAGCAGACCTCTCATCCACTCATCTATTCTCTTATTTACTCTATCCAAGTGATTTCATTCAAGATCATGGCTTTAAATAGCATCTCAATGTAGATGTTGCCTAGCTCAAGCCTAATCTCAATCCTGATCTCTTCCCTGACTGACCTCCAATGCCTTTTAATACTTCCTGGGACATCTAAGAAGTGCTTAAAATTAATATAACCAAACATTAGATTTCTTCTTTCCTTCTCCAACACTTTTTATAACCCAATCTTTTAGGACCCAAGTTGGATCAGATCCAATTTCATGTCTAAACCATGAAGTCCTAGCAGCTGTACCTTCAAATTGTATCCCAGTCTAAGTGCTCTGTGTCACCTCCACCACATCCATCCTAGTCAAGTTAAGGTTCTTTCTGTGTGATCCCAGTAACTGTCAAACTGGTTCCTCTGCTTCCAATTTTGTCATCATTACAGTTAATTCTCCAAATAATCATCAAAAACATTTTTGAAGATGTAAATAAATCACAGCAGAACGCCTCCAGCAGTTTTCTTTCATGGTCAAACTAGCATCTAACCTACCTTCCATGCCCAGTCAATGTCTGCCACCTTCCCTGGCACCATCCTTTACCTGCCTTCCCTCTCCTGCTCAAAACATAGTGGCCTTTGGTTAATTCTCTTCTAGGTATTTTCCTCTGCTCTTGCTCAGATAAAATTCTCTATTTTCAATGAACTTTAAAAAAATATTTCTTTGTTTGAAAGACAGAATAACAGAGAGGGCAGAGACAGAGAAAGAAATCTTTCATCTGCTGGTTCACCACTCAAATGCCCACAACAGACAGGGCTATGCTAGGATTAAGTCAGGAGACAGGAACTCTATTCAGATCTCCTATGTGGGTAGTAGAGATGTGAGTACATGAGCCATCATCATCATCATCATCATCATCATCATCATCAGATGCATTAGTAGGAAGCTGGATTAGAAGCAGAGTATTTGGGACTTGAATCAGATACTCGGATATGGGATGCAGTCATCCCAAGCAGAGTTTTAACCCTGTGTCACAATACCTAATCCATTCCATGAATATTTTTGAAGCTAACGGCGTGTGTGTGCGTGTGTGTGTGTGTGTGAGTGTGTGAGCAGATTTATTTTGTTTAAAGACTCAAGTAAAGGACAGAGTTGTGGCATAGTAGGTTAAGTATCTGCCTTTGGTGCTGGCATCCCATATGGGTGCCGGTTCATGTTCCGGCTCCTCCACTTCTGCTCCAGCTCCCTGCTGGTGGCCTGGGAAAGCAGTAGAGGGTGGCTCAAGTATTTGGACCCCAGCACTTTTATGGGAGACCCAGAGGAAGCTCCTGGCTTTGGATCAGCCCAGTTCTGGCCGTTGGTATTTGGGGAGTGAACCAGTGGATGGAGGACCTCTCTCTGTGTCTCTCCCTCTCTCTGTCTGTAACTCTGCCTCTCAAGTAAATAAATAAACCTTTTTAAAAAGAGACTCAAATAAAAACACTTGGCAGCTTCCCTTTTTTTCCATCACCAGACTACTTCTATTGTAAATTCACTGTTTAGCAAACTACATGAGACTTTAAATAAATCCTCTGACTATGAAAGTAGATTCTAATCATACAGCATTAAAACACAATAACATAGAAAATGCAAGTTCCTCATAACACCACTGCCTGCGTATCACTGTTAGCAGTTTGGGACATGGTCCTTGCATGCATTTTTCTGAGCATCGATGAACCAACTTTGTGTTTGTCTGGGTTTTCTAGATAACAGGGCCTGAAGTAAGACTTGGAAGATGCTATCCTAGGGCAATGACAGTGAAGGACAAAGGCCATGTGGTTAGAGAGGAAGGGAAATGATTTCAAGGCAGCGTTTTACAGTGTTTGTCACTGCTTCACAGGGAGCTTCAGGAGACAAAGCCAAATGGTCAGCAGGATTGGTTGTTACGCTACAGACCAGCTGTATGGTGACACTTTGCTTTACATCTTCTGGATCTTTCTTATGTCTTATTTCCACTGATCGAAACTTTTGCTGTACAGAATTAATGTTCCTGTATTTTCAGATTGTGGACTCATCTCTTTGGATGGCAGTTTGAGAATCTAAAGCCCTTGGCTGGAAGCCTGGTACTTCAGATTAGTCCAGAAGTACGGAGAATATCCGAAAACGCTGAGTGTGCAGCAGGTATCCCTTTGTGGGGCCAGCACAAGGTCATTGGTTGCAGTGTTGGCTGAGGAGGGGCCAAGGACTGAAGACTCTGGAGACAGGCAAGTGAGGCTTTTAGTGCCTAAAATCTAATCAATTTGGAGGGAGGAGGTCTACTTCAAACAAAAGTATGAAGACAAACTTAGACAGCAATATTAATTTGGTTGAAAACATAAATTACAACAAATCACTGAATGCGTAGACAATATCACATATATTACAAAATTCAGAACACGTGCATTTTTTAAAAATCATATACTTCCTGACAAGCCTCTCACTTTTTTTCTCTACAACTTTTGGTTGTATACACTTTGGTGGTCTCTTAAATGATGAGCATTTTATAAAGTCACTTTCTTTTTTTTTTAAAGATTATTATTTATGTGAGAGGTAGAGTTATAGATAGAGAGAAGGAGAGAAAAAGAGAAAGGTCTTTCATCACTCCCTAAATGGCAGCAATGGCCGGAGCTGAGCTGATCTGAAGACAGGACCCAAGAGCTTCTTCTGGGTCTCCCATGCAGCTGCAGGGGACCAAACATTTGGGCCATCCTTTACTGCCTTCCCAGGCCATAAGCAGAGAACTGGATCAGAATAAGAGAAGCTGGGACACGAACCAGTTCCCATATGGTTCCTATATAAGCTGGTGCCCCAGGTGGAGGTTTAACCTGCTGTGCCAGTGTTGGCTCCATGTAAAGTCATTTTCTACACAGAGATTAGAAAGATAGTTCGGGCCTCTCTCTAGCAGAAGAAGGAGGGCCAACGTCAAACAGCTATGTGAGCAGTGTGAATAGTGTGTGTGTGGGGGGGAATGTAAGGAAATGACCATGGGCGTATATCCTGACTTGCCTTCCCCTTAGCTGAATCTCCCAAACTTCATTGCCATCCTACAGGAGTGGGAGTGTAACAGAGGGAAGTAACCCCAAACTTTAACTTCATGAGTCTCACAGGCAACTATCAAAAAATAAGTTGGGGTATTGGTCTGTTTTCTGTTGCTATAACAAAATATACTTGAGGCTGGTACTTTATAAAGAAAAAGAGAATCGTGCTGCTTGTAGTTCTGGAGGCTCAAATTTCAAGGATGGGTGGTCCCGTTGGTTCAGCCTTTGGTGAGGACGCCCTTGGTGTATCACGTCATAGCACATGGCATCATGCGGGATTACATGGAGACGAAGAGAACACTCGGCGGGACAGGAAGCGCTGTGTTTTGGCTCTGGTTAAATTGTGACCCTCTAAAAGTTCATGTGATTTAAGGCTTACTCCCCAGGGTGGGGCTGTTGGGAGGTGGGGCCTACTAGGACGTCCTTTGGTCATTGGGGGCATGCTCTCAGATGTGGTTCTCATGCAACCCCTTGAGATATCAGAGGATTCTGGTTAACATGGAGTTTGGCTCCATCCAATCTCTGCTTCCAATTTGAGAAGGAGTCATTTGTTTACTCCTGCAGGTGCTCCCACCATTGCTATCCATGCCATGAGGTAATATAGGCAGAAGATAGTCCTTGTCACAGAACCTGCCCTATGCTATTCCACTTTCAGCTTCCAAAACTGTGAGCTAAACAAACCTCTTCTTCATAAGTAGCTTGTGTCAGGTCTTTCATTGCATTGATAAAGTGCCAGTTAATACAAGAAGCCAGAGAGAGAATCAGGGGTCAGGCTCAATTTTTTTTAAAGATTTATTTTATTTATTTGAAAGGAAGGATTACACACACACAGAGGGAGAGAGAGAGAGAGAAAGAGAGAGAGAGAGAGAGAGAGCTTGATTTTCCATCTGCTGATTCACTCCCAAATGGCTGCAATGACCAGGGCTGGGCCAGACCAAAGCCAGGAGCCAGGGGCTTCTTCCAGGTTTCCCATATGAGGCAGTGACCCAAGGACTTGGGTAATTTTCTTCTGCTTTCCTAGGTGTAAATTAGCAGAGAGTTGGATTGGAAGTGGAGCAGCCAGGACTAAAACTGGTGCCATATGGGATGCCGGGGGTTTTACCTGCTATGCACAACACTGGTCTCTCAGGCTCACTCTTATAACTCATTCTCCAAGGAACTAACTGTTATGTCATGAGTCCTGCATTAATGCCTTCTGAGAGTGGTACCCCAAATGACCTAACTACTAGATTAATGCCCACCTTATAAAGGCTCCACCATGGGGCTGGTACTGTGACATAGTAGGTAAAGCTACCATCTGTGGTGCTGCCAACAAATATAGGTGCTGCCATCCCATATAGGTGACAGTTTGTGTCCTGGCTGTGCCGCTTCCAATCCAGCTCCCTGCTAATGGCCACTTAGGAAAGCAGGGGAGGATGCCCTAAGTCCTTAGGCTCCTGCACCCACATGGGAGATCTGGAAGAAGCTCCTGGCTCCTGGCTTCAGATTAGCCCAGCTCTATCCATTGTGACCATTTCAGGAGTAAACCAGCAGGTGGAAGATCTCTCTCTTTCTAACTCTGACTTTCAAATACATGAATAAATCTTAAAAAAAAGCTCCTCCAGCTCCCAGTCTTACCACACTGAGGACCACACTTCAAACACATGAACCCTTGAGGAACACACTCCGATCATATCTCAACCAGAGCAGTCTAGTAGAGAAATAATTTAAAAATAAAGTTAATGGTGGTTTCTGGCTAAGGAAATATGACTTCCTTCATTTGCAAAAAGTTGTCCTTGTGGTTTTTGGAAATAGTACTGAATTCTTAGGGAAAAGGGAATAGGACAGAATAGGATATTTTGTGCTGTGTTTTCATTTCCTATTGATTATCCCAAATTTGTGGAAAAAGTTTTTGAAGGCTTTCAAATCTTAACAGCCCAAGATAGAGTGGGATAGTGACTCAAATCTTTTTAAAGTATAAATTGGTACCACCAATTCAAAGGTGAATTTGACAATCATTTAAAATACTAAAAATATTTCATGTCTTGTGAAGAATTAATCCTAGGGAAGTAATCCAAAGTTTATGCAAATACATTCAAAGAAGACTATCAAAGCAAATATGTAAATGCTCATTTCTAAATGAAAGGTTAAGTGATTCATAACCCCTCTATGATCAATATTGTATAATCATTTAAAGAAAAAGATACAACCAAAGAGGTCAGATTAGCATGAAGCTAATGGACATGGTGTTAGGACAAAAAATAAGCAGCATTATTCCATAGAATCTCAAAGTATATAAAAAAAAGTTGAAATCAACTATATCGGTCATGTTTCACTAAAGAAACAGAACCAATGAATGGATAGATAGACAAGATAGATATAGATCTAGGAATAGATACAGATATAGGTGATGCAGACATAGACATGAGGAGATTTGTATAGGAATTGACTCGTGTGATTATGGAAGTTGAAAAGTCTCATGATATCCCATTTATTAACTGGGGAACCAGAAAAACTGGTGCTGCAATTCACTCCAAGTCCAAAGGTCTGAGAACGAGAGAAGCCAATGGTAAAACTACCAATCCAAGGCACCCATATGGGAGACCAGGATGAGGCTCCTGGCTCTTGGCTTCAGCTTAGCCCAGCCCTAGCTGTTGTGGCCATCTGGGGAGTGAACCAGTGGATAGAGGTGCTCTCTCTCTCTCTCTCTCTGTATCTCCTCCCCCTCCCTGTGTAACTCTACCTTTCAAAAATAAAAATAAATCTTTAAAAAAGTTAAAACTGGAAGGGAAGTCCTTAGACTGTAATACCCATCTCAAACAGAAATAAATCTTTAAAAAAGTTAAAACTGGAAGGGAAGTCCTTAGACTGTAATACCTACCTCAAACAGAACAGGGCTTCTGGGAACTTCTAGAGAAGTTTTGAGAATCAATAAATACTTTTTTCTCTGAGATCCACCTTAGGAAATACCTAAAGATCTCTTGTAACAGTGACCATCTTATTCCTTTTAACCTACATATGAGCTCATGGGGCCCAGCCTCTGCTGAGCTATCTGCAGCTGCTGTCCAGGGTTCAGGCTGACTCTTTCCTGTGACCTACAAAACCCCTGGTGAAGTCCTGTGCCTTGGAACTGCAACAATACATATCTGTCAAATTCTTGGATGAAACATCCCATCACTTGACACACTGTTGGTCTTGCAAAGGGCATCACAGCCTATTCTTAGAACCAGCTGGGAGCCTCCGAAAGGCCCCAGAGCTCCGAGTGGAGAATAGCACGTCCCAGAGGTAGGGGCTGCTGGTTCAGAGTGTTCTGGGTCCTTGCCAGCAGCTCTCAGTGGGAAAGAATTCTGCAAGAGCATGTCACAGCTGGTTGTGTCTGTTATTGCTGTCTGCACCTTGCCTGTTGCATAACATCTGGGAGAAGTTGGATTTCGTTATCTGACTTCCTTTTTTCTATGAATTATGGCCAGCATACTGAAGTGGCTGGTGACTTTTTACGATCTTTTCAGCTGAGAGTTTTTCCAGGTCTCTGAATGTTGGATTGGGCCAATTAAAATGCAATATTCTTGAGTGATAATAGTAACAGCAGACATTGAATTTATACAATATGACAGGCTATGTCCTAAGAAGCTTACATAGATCTGTTTATTTAACCATTCCAACAATTGAATGAGTTAACAATATTGGTCCTATTTTACAGAGGACAGTACTGAGGACCAAGGAGATTAACTCAATCAGGATTGCACAGCCGGAGGAAGCAGTCGAGTTCTGAATCCACGCGAATGAATACCAGAGACATTTCTATCCTATATGATTCCAATCCCTTAGGAGTCTCTGCAGCAAGATTTCCAAAGTGGGATTTCCTAGTAAATCACTTGAAGGGGTTGATTTAAGTGAGACTGTTGGACATCAATAGTAGCATTCTTTATGTTAATAAGAAATTTGGGTAAAAATCCTTATATGTCTAATAATTAGGAATTGATGAAATTATAATATATATGTATAATGTTAATTTATGTCTCTGATAAAGTAAATAATATTTCTTTTTAAGAAAGATTTATTTATGTTTTGTTTGAAAGGCAGAGTTACAGAGAGGCAGTGAGAGAGTGAGAAGAGAGAAAGAGAGTCTTCTATCTGTTGGTTCACTCCCCAGACGGCTGCAACAGCTGGAACTGTGCTGATCCAAAGTCAGGAGCCAGGAACTTCTGGGTCTTTCACGCAAGTGCAGCGGCCCAAGGAGTTGGGCTGTCTTCTACTGCTTCCCCAGGTCATAGCAGAGAGCTAGATTGCAAGTGGAGCTGCTGGGACTCGAACCTGCGTGGGATGCCGGCACCGCAGGCGGCAGCTTTACCCACTACGCCGCAGTGCTGGCCCCAAGTAAATAACAATTCTTACTGTCCAATTTCTACATTGAACATGAACTCAAAGATAGAACAAGCCAGAGTGGTTTTATGCCAGTTACTTAAGTAAATGGCATCATTACTTCTCCGCCTTTCCCAGGGGCTGCTCTCCTGGGGACACATTCCTGAGGATATTTTGCTTTTAAGTAAATTATGTACACCTGACTTCAGCTTTTAACTGGCCCCACAATTAATCTATTTTGGATATGTCTCTAAATTTTTCTTTTTCTCTCTCTGTCTTCTCGCCCTCCCTCTGACTCTCATTTCTTTCTAATGCTAGAAGTTTTGATTCTAAAGATACCTGAATTCTGGTGCTGTTTCTTAAGCAAGCCTATTATTCTATTTCCTCATCCATGTAATGGCACTCATAGCTGACCTCATACGGTTTTTGTGACGTCTGAATGAGAAAATGCATGTGCAGTGTCTAGAGCACCTGTGTGCACACAGGGAGCTCTCAGCAATGGTAGCTGTTGCTACTTCCATGGCTACTGGCTCCTCCTTTTCTTCCTCTTGTCTGTCTTACTTCCCTCTGTTCCTATTTTCTCCTTTCTGCATTTTTGTTCTTCCCTTCGTTGATCCCTGAACTATCACCCAAACTTCATCTTTAAAAAACTACTTGTCATATCCATCTAATAAAGATAGCTATAAAAATAAAAAAGTTAAAAAAAAAGTAATTGTCTGGGCCAGAGTTGTGATGTGGTGGGTAAAGCTGCTCCCTGCAATGCTAGCATCCCACGTGGGTGCCCGTTTGTGTCCTGGCTGCTCTGCTTCCGATGCAGCTTCCTGCTAACGGCTTGGGAAAAGCAGCAGAAAATGGCCCAGGTATTTGGGTCCCTGCACCCACGTGGAAGACCTGGATGAAGCTCCTTGTTCCTGGCTTCTGCCTGGCTCAGCCCTGGCCATTACGGCCACTTGGGGAGTGAACCAGTCAATGGAGGATCTCTCTCTCTCTCTCTCTCTCTCTCTCTTTCCCTATCCCTCTTTCCCTCTCTCCCTCCCTCCCTCACCTCCTCTCTCTTCTTTCTCTCTCCCTCCCCCTCCCTCTCCTTCCCTCCCCCCCCCACGTCTGTAACTCTTTCAGATAATAAATAAATCTTTTAAAAAACCAAATTTTCTGTGAAACTGGAGATAAATGGACTGTTCTGTGTGTTTCTATTAAGCTGGGACCATAGGCACAGTTACCAGGGCACTTAAGGAGATAGGTGTCAGCTCCACGTAAGGCAGCTTTTCCTACAATGGGGATGGTAGCAAGCTGCATGAACTACCTGCAGAAGATCTGAGTTTCCAGTCACTTGTAGATTCTGAGCAGAGATGGGACCACCCCTCAGTGAAGCTGGGGTACAGGGAACTCAGGCAGCAGAGGAGGGAAGAACTGGGGTGAACTTATAATGCCAGTGTGCATGATTATATTTTTAAGGAACAAAAAGATCATAAGAAATAACTTAAACAAAAGCAAAATCCTTCTTCCCCCATTGCTGACCCTCACTTCCACTGGGTCATTGTGAGCGTTGGCTTGATCTTCCATCGGTAGCACATGAATGCTGTTCAGCTGGCGATGTTAACAAGCAGGTGGTGTAATTGCCACACAGTGCTTGCTCAACCTCAGGGACAGGTGGGTACCTGCTTTGTTAACTTGTGGTGCACAACTACCCTTTATTCACTCTTTGTAAAAGGAATGAGTTCCCACAGTTTTCCAATAGTTATATCTTAATTCTCTGCAAATCTCATGACTAGCTTTCCTTCCCTTCTTTTCCTGATTCTCTCTGTGCATGGGAGATGACAGCAACACCTACAGAATTCCCTAGGAAGGAGGTCCTGGGATACAAGATCAGTTCCTAGTGCTTTGTCATGCTCACGGTAACCGCTTTTATCATCTTTTGGGTCTAGAGATTCACTCATTGTCCCTCTGACAATATCTCCTTTAAATCTTGGGGTGTTTCACAAGCCTTAAAAGGAGTAGGACAAAGTCTCCCTAAATCCCATTTTCTTACTGTCACTTAAAATAGCCCACTCTAGTGTTTACTCCTCAGTCTATAACTGACCGTGGAAGTAAGTAGCAAAGAATAGTTATGGAGGTTCCCAAATCTTGAAATTTTTGGTGCCTGAATCTCTGGTTTCTGATTCCTGACTTTCTTACCCAGAAAGGTCTTGGAAGGTTTTGGAGAGTGGCATGACATAAACATGATCACTATGGTGGCTGTGTTATATGAGGACACTTCAAAAAGTTCATACAAAAAATAAAAAATTAAACAATTTGGATTGCATGCATAGTTTTTCACAATATGAATTTTTAAAGACCCCCCTTTGTATGTATGGATTTCAATTTTTGTCACCAGATAAGTTTATTTTTAAACTACTTTTTCAATGAACTTTTTGAAATACCTTTATAGTTATTGTATGCAATATTCCAAAAAATATGATTTTGGTTTGGGCTATGATCAAATCAGTAGAGATGGAAAGAAGTGGGAAGATGTTGGGTTTAGAGGAAAGATTTAAGAATGACACCAAGTCAGCGCCGCGGCTCAATAGGCTAATCCTCCACCTAGTGGTGCTGGCACACTGGGGTCTAGCCCCAGTCGGGGCGCCGGATTCTGTCCTGGTTGCCCCTCTTCCAGGCCAGCTCTCTGCTGTGGCCCGGGAGTGCAGTGGAGGATGGCCCAAGTGCTTGGGCCCTGCACCCCATGGGAGACCAGGAGAAGCACCTGGCTCCTGCCTTCGGATCAGCGCGGTGAGCCAGCCGCAGTGCGCTGGCCGCGGCGGCCATTGGAGGGTGAACCAACGGCAAAGGAAGACCTTTCTCTCTGTCTCTCTCTCACTGTCCACTCTGCCTGTAAAAAAAAAAAAAAAAAAAAAAAAAAAGAATGACACCAAGATTTTTGCTCTAAAAAATTAGAGGAATGAATATGTTATTTGATACATGTTGAATGAGTCTACAAATCTGTTAATGCTTCCCCTCATCTGTTCATTAATTTGAGGCTGTCACATAATTTCTACTTACATCACCTTAATGGCCTTGTAGATACTTTACCCTGAGTAACAGCATTAGGCTTGTGATTCATAGTCTCCAAGGCAGTCCAGACCTCAAGACGTGTGGACCTCATCCAGGCAGTAGAAGGCAGCAGATGTTGAGTTATACAGACATGTTTTATTGCCTACCACCTAAAATTTGTTGCATGTATTTTATTACAGCCCAACTTCTGCATACACCGTGATTTTGGGACATTATGGCCAGGACACTTGTCAGGGAACAATGACAAGTGGGATATTATAGTCTCTTCAGGGATGTGTTCTCAAAATCGGGTCTGAAACCAATAATGATGTCATTCTGTAGAGGTGACTTCTTCATTCATCAGACACCACTAACACAAGGATTATAGGAGTACTGGTGGAAAAATGGTGTTTGATATCAAAGCACTCTGTTGGAGGGTGGGAAGCAATGGAGAAGCAGGTAACTAAACTGAAATTAACAGACAAATGTAGTTTGGTGGGCACTGACCTCTTCCTATGAGGGAGTTAATGAGTGAACAAATGAAAGCAATAAGGATTGTAGGAGACCAGAGATAGGGGAGGTATCTTTCATCAAGGAACCTTTTAAAAATGCTTCATTTTTAAAGCTAATTATTCTTTGGCAGTATTAGCAAGGAGAGACGTTTCTGATGCAAGACAAGCTTTGGATCAGAGACTCTGAAACTGGAATTCCGAGACCCAAAGGTCTATGTTGACAGAACTCAAAGGGATAATAAACATGGATGGTTAAATTCACAAACAAAAAAGGAACACAAAGCACATCTTCATTTTCTCTAACCTTGAACTGAAATTTATCATTTTTTTCAATTCTTAATCTAGACCCCCAAAGCAATATGTCTCCTAAATTTTATTTTTATTATGAAAACACAATATTACTTTTATTATATTTTTAAAATTTTTTTTTATTTTTTTTGACAGACAGAGTGGACAGTGAGAGAGAGAGAGACAGAGAGAAAGGTCTTCCTTTGCCGTTGGTTCACCCTCCAATGGCTGTCGCAGCCGGTGCGCTGCAGCCGGCGCACCCCGCTGATCCGATGGCAGGAGCCAGGTACTTATCCTGGTCTCCCATGGGGTGCAGGGCCCAAGGACTTGGGCCATCCTCCACTGCACTCCCGGGCCACAGCAGAGAGCTGGCCTGGAAGAGGGGCAACCGGGACAGAATTCGGCGCCCCGACCGGGACTAGAACCTGGTGTGCCGGCGCCGCAAGGTGGAGGATTAGCCTAGTGAGCCGCAGCACCGGCTTATATATCTTTTTAAAGATTTATTTATTTATTTGAAAGGCAGAGTTACAGAAAGGCAGGGGCAGAGAGAGAGAGAGAGAGAGAGAGTCTTCCATCCACTGGTTCACTCCCCAGATAACTGCTGTAATGGTTGGAGCTGCACTGTTCCGAAGCCAGGAGTTAGGAGCCAAGAGCTTCTTCTGGACCATGTTCAACTTCTTTCCCAGCCATGGCAAAGAGCTGGATCAGAAGTAGAACAGCCAGAACTTGAACTTGTGCCCATATGGGATGCTGACAGCAGCTTTACCCACTATGCCACAGTGGTGGCCCCTATTATATCATTTTTAATACTTCATTTTATTTTATTTTATGTGATTAAAATCCTAAATATGTTACTAATACTAATTTTTCTAACTTTTATCATGGTAGATAAATGGTGGAATGGCCTCAAGGTCTGCAGTTGGCTTTGGTGGAGAGCACTTACGAGCCACATGGATGTAAGCCAGGTGCTTAATGTAGCTAGACCTCAGTTTTGTCAGCTCTAAAATGAACATAATAACACTTGGCCCATCAGGTGTCTATAAGAACTAAATAAGATAAAGTAAGTAAAGTGCCTAGGATGGTTGCAGGCATATAAGATGTGCTTATTTTTTTTTTCTTTTTTATTTTTTGACAGGCATAGTGGACAGTGAGAGAGAGAGACAGAGAGAGAAAAGGTCTTCCTTTGCCGTTGGTTCACCCTCCAATGGCCGCCGCTGCAGCCGGCGCACCGCGCTGATCCTGGCAGGAGCCAGGAGCCAGGTGCTTTTCCTGGTCTCCCATGGGGTGCAGGGCCCAAGCACCTGGGCCATCCTCCACTGCACTCCCTGGCCATAGCAGAGAGCTGGCCTGGAAGAGGGGCAACCGGGACAGAATCCGGCACCCCAACCGGGACTAGAACCCGGTGTGCCGGCGCCGCAAGGTGGAGGATTAGCCTATTGAGCCACGGCGCCGGCTTAGATGTGCTTATTAAACAATCATAATTATTGCAGACAGTGGTCTTAAATCATGTGAGATTCCACAGGGAAAAATAGAAATGATCCCTCATGGCCTCCGAATGAGACTGAAAAGAGAAACTATGAAAAAGGCAGAATGCCACTTAAAAATGGCAAGTCTTTTAAACAAGGGCATGTTGTATTACCTTGGCAAGCAGCAAGATTCAGATTGCTTGGGCTGTTTTCAAGCAGACCCATATATTAACGGGTTCCCACACTGGCAACCCTGAGAATCTATGATTTTATTTAAAGAAGAATGCTTTTTCTGCCTTTTACAAGTGGTTAACTCCCTCTGTTATTTATAATAATACATGTTTATGGTACCATTTGCCATATAAGCCAGAGGAACTCATTCAGGCTCTAAGTGCTGGTGGACAGGTGTCCCAGTTTCAATACAGTCATCGTTCAGCCACAAGAACGAGTAGGAATGATTGTCCTACTACTTAGACATGAGTTCATTCCTCTGTGATAATTGTGTCAGAGTTGATATAACCAAATTTTATTTTAAAAATAATTTATTTTGTTTATTTAAGGTAGAGAGAGAGCAAGGGAGAGCGAGAGAGAGAGAGAGAGAGAGTGCACGAGCATGCAAGGGCATATACTTGCTCCCACCCCATCTGCTGGTTCACTCCCCAAATATCCAGGAACCAGGAACTCAACTCAGGTCTTCCATATGGGTGGCAGGGGTCCAACTACTTGAGCTATCACCTGCTGCCTCTCAAAATATGCATTATCAGGAAACTGGAATGAGGAGTGGAGCTGGACTTGAACCCAGACACTCCCCCATGAAATGTTGGTGTCCCAAGTGGTGTCTTCAGTGTTCCAAGCTTGCTGCTTTTTTTTTTTTTTTTGTGATCCATCCAGCACATGACGGATGACTTGATCATTACACACCTATCAAGTCTATTCTAAGAATCCATTGGATTTACAAGAGGTCCTTGACTTGCAAGGAATCATTAACCAGAAGCAACTTTTGCAGATTCAAGGTGAGGGCATATCTGGGGCCATTTATGTGAAAGACATGGGCCTTGTGCCAGCACATTCTTCTTCTTTTTTTTCTTTTTTTTCTTTTTTTTTTTTACAGGCAGAGTGGATAGTGAGAGAGAGACAGAGAGAAAGGTCTTCCTTTGCCGTTGGTTCACCCTCCAATGGCCGCCACCGCTGGTGCGCTGCGGCCGGCGCACCGCACTGGTCCGAAGGCAGGAGCCAGGTGCTTCTCCTGGTCTCCCATGGGGTGCAGGGCCCAAGCACTTGGGCTATCCTCCACTGCACTCCCTGGCCACAGCAGAGAGCTGGCCTGGAAGAGGGGCAACCGGGACAGAATCCGGCGCCCCGACCGGGACTAGAACCTGGTGTGCCGGTGCCGCAAGGCAGAGGATTAGCCTAGTGAGCCACGGCGCTGGCAGCCAGCACATTCTTGGTAAAAGTACAGGGAAAAAATATTGGTGCTAGGCTGGTTGCTGTGTGGTTTTTATCCTGGTCTACCCATGATAGAGCCAAATAACTTTATAAAAATTTATGAATTTGTAGAGAAGAAAAGGGGTGTTTTTAGTAATACTAAAGGCAAAAGTCATATAAAACACAAGGTATTGATTTCTTTAGGCAGGGAGAGAGTACTAAAAATGACTACAGTCCAGAGCCAGGGAGCAAGATTAAAAATTTTTCTTTTTCTTTTGTTCTTTCTTTCATTATTTCTATTTTTTCTTTAATGCAGGACTTGTGCTGGTGGCCTTGGAAAAGCAGCAGAAGATGGTCCAAGTGTTGGGGCTCTGCCACCCATGTGCCACTCAGCGCTGGTCATTGTGGTCATCTGGGGAGTGAAGGAGCAGATGGAAGCTCTCGCTCGCTCACTCACTCTCTCGCTATGTCTCTGTCTCTTCCTCTCTGTAACTCTGACTTTCAAATAAATAAATCGATCTTAATAAAAAGACTGATATGTTTACTTTACATGTTTGTTGATGCTGATCTTCCCCCATGAATTACCTGTTGTACCTTTGCCAATTATTACTTTAGCTTGCTCATGTTTTGTGCATTTTAAAAAAATTTTTTTTCTTTTCAACATTGTGCATTTGTTTTTAATAATCATTTTATTGCAGTAAAATCCACAGACTAAAAGTGTACAGCTTAGTGGTTTATGTATACTCATAAATTCTGTCATGTGCTGCCACTGGTCTCTGATGAGCTTGGTGATGAACTAAGTGGTCTCCTTAAATGTCTGGAAGCATTAATCTCTCAGATTTGCTGAGAAGCTCAGTGTTTGCATTTGATCACGCCTTCAATGCTTGGGCAGGAAGTTTACAACTTTGTCTTAATTTTTACTTCCTGTGTGCCTAGAGTCTAAAGGTCAAGTCAGAGGTGAAATCTTGGAGCATGAATGTAGCCTTTTGGAATCCTGGAAATATTTCAGAACAACCCAAGCTTATCCTTTTAAGTGTTTCATCCAGCTTCTTGTTTACCCAAAGATTATTGCCACAGTTATGATGTTGTACAATTGATGCTGATTGATTTTAGCCCTGGAGAAATGGCTTTTCATAGTGGGCAAGCACTGACTTAGATCATATAAGTGCTTGAAAGGAGTTGCAGACAGGTCAAATGATGACAGCTCTCAGAGGATGTTGTTTTCCGGGTTCTCAAAATCTATTCTGTCCTCCCAAGTGGTTGCTAGGCTGCTGGACAATAAGACTGCTGATTTACATCACAGAGCTGGGAGAGAGTACTGGGAATAGGCAAAGTTACATCACAACAAAATTCACTGCTCTTACAAAGATTCTTCCGCTTTGCAAGAATAAATGTTCCTCGGATTGTTACAAGATTTTGGCTAATCTCCAAACTTCTATAAATTTTTATTTTATGATTTTCTTAGAGTTCTTGTTGCTTTCATGGACAAGAGGACTTTTAGAGGTCTTTGCTCTGCCATTTCTACTGATATCACCCTCCAAGGTCATTTCAGTCATCCCTGGAAAACCACGTGGGTCTCAGGGGAATTTTTAACCACATCTTTTACTCTTCTAGGTTTATTTCTTCCTAGAAGTCTCCCTTTTCAGAATATAATATAAAACAGGTAAAAAAAAATGAACTTGTTTACCTCTGGTGTTAAGAAAGGAAATGTCACCATCAGAGTCCATCTCAATTACTGAAGCCAAGTTCAAAGTTCCCATGGCCCTTTACTTGACAGCACTGATATTAGTTACCCAGGAGTAAGGAAACCCTTCCCCTGAAGTCAACCACCTACTTGTGCTATCATGGGTGCAGAAAATTACTTGAAACAAAGAGGATTAGAATGTGTTAAGTACCCTCAGAAAAGTGAGTAAAATAAAGGGGTGGTGTCCAGAGGAGGCAGAAATCATTCCCATGTCTAGCATATTAGGGCAGGTTCCAGGATAGAGCATTGCAGGATGTCCTTGAAGAATTTTTCTTTTAACTGTCAGGCAGTGGAAAGAGAATGAACATTCACAGCAGAAGATGGGTATGGGAGTGGGTGTGAGGGTAAGGAATCAGAGGAAAAGTCTATTAGTCTGTTTATTTTTGCTGTGACTGAGGCTGTACAACTTGAAAAAAAAAAGTTTATTTAGTTTACAGTTTTGGGGGCTGAAATCCAAAATCAGATGGCCTCGTCTACCTGGTGTCTGATGTGAGCCTCCTTGGCTGTATCACCATACAGCAGATGGCATTGTGATGGACGTGCATATGAAGTGGAGAGATCACATGGTGGTAAAGGAAGTCAGAGAGGTTGAGTAGGGGAAAAAAGAGATAGAGATGGATACAGTGATAAAAAGATATAGAGCGAGGCCTGCAGGTGGGACCAGCAACTCAATCTGAGGCTCCTGAGCCAATGACTGCTGCCTCCCAGAGTGCACATTAGCAGGAGGCCAGAACTGAAAGCAGAACCGGACCTTAAACCCAGGCAGTCGGATACAGAATGTGGTGGTCACAACTATGAGACACCTATGTTCAGGCTTGCTTTTTATATTAACCTTTTGCAGGAACTAACCAGGGTCCCCTAAGAACTACCTAAAACTCTCCAAGGGCAGTGCCCCTAATGACTTAACAGCCTGAATTAGGCCCACCTCTTAAAGGTACCACTACCCTTAACATTACCACATGGAACCACCTTGAAACAGATGAGACTATGTGGGGGAAAACCACACCTAAATCACAGCAGAAAATTATTCAGTTTGACATAGAGTTGGTTTTGTCAGGTTCAGCTTCTCAGATATCCTAGAAACCATCAGATTGTAGAAGGGAATTGAGGGCTCTTCTACATTTATTTCAGACGTAAGATCGAAAGTACTTATAAGTTATATGACACTTCGACATAAAGTATCTCATTTGCTTTTTTTAAGGATTTACTTATTTATTTGAAAGTCAGAGTTATACAGAGAGGAGAGGCAGAGAGAGAGAGAGAGAAAGAGGTCTTCATTCGCTGATTCACTCCCCAATTGGCCACAATAGCCAGAGCCGGGAGATATGAAGATATGAAGCCAGGAGTTTCCTCTGGGTCTCCCATGAGGGTACAGGGCCCAAGGACTTGGGACATCTTCCATTGCTTTCCCAGGCCATAGCAGAGAGCTAGATCAGAAGTAGAGCAACCAGGACTCGAACAAGTGCCCATATGGGATGCTGGTGCTTCAGGCAGTGGCTTTACCCATTACACCACAGCGCTGGCCCCTCTCATTTAATTTGAAAATGGTTTTGTGAGGTAATCAGGACAGTGACTCACCTGAGTCATGATCCCTACAGTTGTAAAACTATGCTTCTAAACCAGGCCTAGAGTTCTAAATCCCATCTCCTTTCTTATACCATTGCCTGAACATCTTTCCATCTGTACATCTAAGTAGGACCTCCTGCAACTCCCTCAAATAAATGAAAATGATATTTCATACTCATTTATAGCTACCTGCACCTTTTCCTTTTTTAAATTATTTATTTATTATTTGAAAGGCAGTGTCATAGAAGTGCAGAGGCAGAGAGAGAGGGAGAGAGAGAGAGAGAGATGAGAGACAGAGAATCTCTCATTTGCTGATTCACTTCCCAAATGGCCACAACAGCCAGAGCTGGGCCAATCTGAAGCCAGGAGCCAGGAGCTTCTTCAGATTCTCCCACATGTGTGCAGAGGCCCAAGCGCTTGGCCATCTTTACTGCTTTCCTAGGTTAAATGAGTTGATTAAATACTTTATAGCTTCCAAATCTCTCTTTGTTTCACAATCAGAATGATCATCTATATGTCCTTGGAAACTGAAAAAAATGCTTCCTTTCCTGCTGCATGAAAAGAAGATAATGTCATTTGTTCCAAACCCAATGGCATGTGAATGATAGAAAAGCTGCTTCAATTATGTGCATGCACGCACACACATATCCTGCACTTAACACATCAAATGTGTCCCAACAGCAATGGAAATGAAAAATCACTCTCAGGATAATGCTGTTTTCCCACTGACTGCCACATGAGAAAATCCCCATCCAACTGCTTACTCATGGTGAATATAATCATTTACTGAACCCACAGTGTGCTCCTATGCTGTGTATGTTTTCTGATATCATCTTGTTAAAGATAAGATTATTAAATGGAGGCCGGCGCCGCGGCTCACTAGGCTAATCCTCCGGCTAGCGGCGCCGGCACACCAGGTTCTAGTCCCGGTCGGGGCGCCGGATTCTGTCCCGGTTGCCCCTCTTCCAGGCCAGCTCTCTGCTGTGGCCAGGGAGTGCAGTGGAGGATGGCCCAGGTGCTTGGGCCCTGCACCCGCATAGGAGACCAGGAAAAGCACCTGGCTCCTGGCTCCTGCCATCGGATCAGCGCGGTGCGCCGGCCGCAGCGCGCTGGCCGCGGCGGCCATTGGAGGGTGAACCAACGGCAAAGGAAGACCTTTCTCTCTGTCTCTCTCTCTCACTGTCCACTCTGCCTGTCAAAAAAAAAAAAAAAAGATTATTACATGGTATTTGTTAAAACATGATGAAAAGACTTTATTTAAGATCATCATGATAGGTATAGGTTCACTACAATTGGGTCTTGCAGTGGAGAAAAGGCATCGGATTCAACTCTGAATGCATCATGGGCAAGTGAGAACTTATGTGAGGGAGTATTGTGAAAAACCATCAGGAGAAAAACATAAGGGGCAAGGGAGATGCCTGCTAAAACAACCTAACAAAACTCTTGATGGAGACAGGCCAGGGATCAGACATCATGTAGGGGGTGGTGGTGGGGATTGAGGAACTTGATTAGATATTGAAGTTGATCAGATATGGAGGGTGAAATGTTCTTCCCAAATTGACTTGGCAAGGTTCTTTTGAAAACTGGATTGTACAAGGAAGTACTCGTATGTACCTAGAGAAGGTTCAGAAGCCTGATTCAATCTTGTTCAAGCAGAGAAGCTTTGTTAGTCTTAAAAAGCCAGGGACTTTCTCAGGTGAGTAAAACGTATCTTGGGAGCAGGAGAACTTGTACAGATCACAAAGACAGCAAATAGCAGTGCTAGAGGCGAGCTCATGAGTGTCTGTATCCAGGGCCTTATTTCAAGCCCTATTTATTTACTTCTAATGGTAGAGTTAGAAACGTGCCAGGGGATTCCAATTCAATCCCATCAAGGTGGCATGTACCAATGCCATCTCACTAGTCAAAGTCATCAGTTTCAGTTCATAATTGACCATAATGATAGGATTAAGTGTCAAAGGGATCACATAAACAAGACTAGTGCCTGCTAATACTAACTGAGAGAATTAAAAAGGAGAGAACAATACAACATGGGAAGTGGAATACCCAGTAGATTCACAGAATGGCAGATGTCCTAAACAGCACTCTGACCTCAGAATCAGCCCTTAAGGCATGTGGATCCGGCTGAAAAGCCCATGAGAGTATTGTAGGCATGGAAAGCCAAGACACTATGGCAAAAAAAAAAAAAAAAAAATGACCTAAATGAAAGCTCTCTGTGAGTGAGATCCCAGTGGAAAGAATGGGCCATCAAAGAAGGAGATACCTTTCTCTGAAGGGAGGAGAGAACTTCCACTTTGACTATGGCCTTGTCTGAATAAGATTGGAGTTGGAGAATTCAAGAGGCTTCCATAGCCTTGGCAGTTCATGACAAAAGCCTCGGGTGATTACTGACTTCATAAATAAGAGTGTCAATTGTTAAATGAACAACAGGAGTCACTGTGCACTTACTCCCCATGTAGGATCTCTGTCCTTAATGTGTTGTACTAAGTGAATTAAAGGTATAACTAGTACTCAAACAGTACTTTATACTTTGCGTGTCTGTGTGGGTGCAAACTGTTGAAATCTCTACTTAGTATATACTAAATTGATCTTCTGTATATAAAGATAATTGAAAATGAATCTTGACGAAGAATGAGATGGGAGAAGGAGTGGGAGAGGAGATGATTGCAGGTGGGAGGGTGGTTATGGGGGAAAAAGCTGCTATAATCCAAAAGTTGTACTTTGGAAATTTATATTTATTAAATAAAAGTTAAAAAAAGATAATAGTCATGGTGACTGTCACCTTCAGTGATTATTTTTTGTTTATATCACTGGAAATGCTTTTAAATTTCTGTATGTCCTGCTAATATTTGTCTAAAATATATTGAATTCTTGAAACATTTCACATTTACTAGAGTGTCAAATATGGAAGCTCAGATCTGGTAATTAACCTGCAAAGTCCGTGTTTCAGCAGATGGAACTTGGGTATGAATTCAAGTCAGCATGATTCTAAAACTCTTGCTCCTTTAAAAAAGTTTTGAATTAGTAATAACTGTACATGTGTATGGGCTAAAGTGTAACATTTCAATGTATGTGTACTGATCAAATTAGGGTAATCAGCATTTCCCCTTCTTTGACATTACTTTATTTAAAGAAGCTTGGAGCATCTTTATTCCATTTCTTCATATAATACATACCAGACCACCCCACTATGCTGTGTAACACTAGGAACTTCCTCCTTCACTCTGACTCTGATTGGTATCCATTATCTAATCTCTCTCTCTGCTGCATTATCCTTCCCAGCCTCTAGTAATCATCATTTAGTATTCAGACTGAGTTTTTTTTAGCTTCCACGTATGAGGAAGAATATGTGGTATTTGTCTTTTTGTTTCTGGTTTATTGCATTCAACATGATGTCTTCCAGTTCTATTCATTTTGCTGCAAATGATAGTATTTTTTTATGGTTGAATAGCATTCTGTTGTGTATATATACCACATTTTCTTTATCCATTCATCCAATCTTTTGATTCTTAACTAAACATGCTTATTCTTTTCTGTACTGTCTCATTATCCAATCCCCATACATCGGGTTTCCATACATTTGTCTTTAAAAATTATATACAGCTAACATTTCAGCCAACTTTGTGTGCATAGAACTTTCCTTTTGGCTAAAGCTTGAGGCCACCTTCTCATTCATTAAAAATACACTGGGGATCTTACTTTCAAGGTAAATAGTGGAATCACTGCTTATGAAACCTCATTGGCCAT